CAGAAAACCACCTTCCCATCTCCGTCTTCCCTGCTTTCTTTGCATCTTATCTGTGCCAAAGATGCTGGCACTTCTCCAAACCACCTCCCTTCTCCCCGCGGGCCCGTCTCTGCCTGCTGGCGATATGGTGGTCCACGTGTCTTTTTTTTTTTGCCGAGGCGTTTGCAAAGAAAGTCCCATGGCTTACCTGGGCCATGGAGGTTCGATCGCAGTGTGGGGATATGAGGCTGAGAACCACCTCGAGGACAAAGAGAGGGGACATGGCACGGAGAAGGAGCATAAATGGGCACCGGCGGAGTTTTTCAGCAGCGTCATAGAATTTGTCTACTTGGAAGGGCCCCCTAATGCTCATCTAGTCGTACCCCTTGCAAAGCAGGAACGCGTTACTTTCAGACGAGCTGTTTTCAAAAAGGGTATCAAAGTTAGAGAGTGGGGGTCTCCTTCTCCTTCGCTTGAAGAAGAGAAAGCCCCCTTCCATACCCATCATGTTTGAAACTCTGGACATTCTGAATCACAGAATTGTAGAGCTGGATGGGACCTCCAGAGGCCACGTAGTCCAACCCCCTGCACTGGAGGAATGTCAAAGTTCACCTTCTCAATCAGGCATTTGAGCTCTGTCCGTTGACAACGTCATCTTTACAGCCTCGAGCATTAATGCGCTAGACCAGTCTTTGCCCACCAGGAGTTTGGGACTACCACGACCATCGTCCTCAGCCATCCCCTCTGCGCTGGCAGGGGCTGATGGGCATTGTAGTACATAACACCTGGAGGGCGCCTGGTTGGCAAATGGATGCCCTAGTTCCGCATTTTCTCTCTGGCCTGTTTCATTTTGCACTCGCGCACGGTCCCTTTTGCAACGCGGCTCACACGAATCTTTGCTGAGATTTCCTTGGCGTTCTTCATCGGCCGGTTCCCGTCATCACTGCCAGTTTCTATCTTTGGGAAAAACGGGTCTTTTTCGGTATCAGTCCTCTCTCACTCTAACAACAACGCAAGGGCTCCCGAGAACCATTCAAGTGTTACACATTTATTACAAAATAAAAATAATAATAAAAATGGCGATCCTCTGCCCCTCCCTGCCTCCCCACGAGTGACAGGAGTGTCTGTGCAAATCCTGCTGCATAGTTGTCCTGTATTTAACAACAACAACGCAAAGAGGAACACCGAGGTGTCCTGTGTGACACTGGTGTTTGCCCATTGCGGCCATATCCTTACTGGTTTTAACGTGGGTGGGTGTGTTGTCACGTGTGTGTGTGTGTGTGTGTGTGTGTGTATCTGCAGATATATATATATACACACAGTATATATCCCAACATGTAGATACTGTTTGAGAGAGTCAGGTCAGTAGGGATATTCTCTTTGCGTGGGGCGGGGGGGACCGTGTTGAAAAATATTTCCAATTTGCTTTCCTGTCTTTTCTTAATGATAGTTGATTCATTCTGGGTTTTTTGGGAGGGGGGCTGGGCTGCCTCCTTTTCCTCCCCTGAATAGATGTGAAGGGGCAAAAACGAGGATTCTCTTTTCCTAATAAATTTCATATGCAGATCTCTGGAGTCTCTGGTCCTTATTTATTTATTCAATGCAGTCATGTCTTCCCCTTTTCTACAAGGAGCTCAAGTTAATGCACGTGGGCCTCCCACCCTCCTAATTTAATCCCTGCAACAACTCTGCGAGTGTGATGGTCTGGGATTCGGACTTGGATGCTGAACCTGAAGGATCCCAGCCTGCACAGGATTCCCCGCCTCCAGAACCAGCTGAGCCGGGGCTGGGGCATGAGCCTGAAGGGTCCTCACCTGTGCTGGATCCTCAGGTGCAGGCACCAGCTGAGTCTGCTAAGGCTCCTGAGGGGGTGGAGGACCCATTACCTGCAGGTGCTCCACTCTCAGCCCTGTCAGAGGAAGCGGAGGTTGCCTCTGGGTCCAGTAATCCTCTAGCCTCTCCTGAGCTGCAGAGGCTCAGGGCAGAGAGGCGGAGGGTGCTAAGTTTCCACAGGAGGAGTGCTCGCCTCCAGGCCAGGAGAGGCGAGTCACCAGAGGATCGGGGCCGCCCTGTGCCTCGGGGCAGATAAAAGCCAGCGAGCCCCAGTCCCAAGTTGCGGGAGCAACATTGTTGGTTGCTAGTTCCTACCTGAACCCTGTCCTGCTTTCATAGAATCATAGAGTTGGAAGAGACCACAAGGGCCATCGAGTCCAACCCCCTGCCAAGCAGGAAACACCATCAGAGCACTCCTGACATATGGTTGTCAAGCCTCTGCTTAAAGACCTCCAAAGAAGGAGACTCCACCACACTCCTTGGCAGCAAATTCCACTGTCAAACAGCTCTTACTGTCAGGAAGTTCTTCCTAATGTTTAGGTGGAATCTTCTTTCTTGTAGTTTGGATCCATTGCTCCGTGTCCGCTTTTATATATTTGAACATGGCTATCATATCACCCCTTAACCTCCTCTTCTCCAGGCTAAACATGCCCAGCTCCCTTAGCCGTTCCTAATAAGGCATCGTTTCCAGGCCTTTGACCATTTTGGTTGCCCTCCTCTGGACACGTTCCAGTTTGTCAGTGTCCTTCTTGAACTGTGGTGCCAAGAACTGGACACAGTACTCCAGGTGAGGTCTGACCAGAGCAGAATACAGTGGCACTATTACTTCCCTTGATCTAGATGCTATACTCCTATTGATGAGGCCCAGAATTGCATTGGCTTTTTAGCTGCCGCGTCACACTGTTGGCTCATGTCAAGTTTGTAGTCAACCAAGACTCCTAGATCCTTTTCACATGTACTGCTCTCAAGCCAGGTGTCACCCATCTTGTATTTGTGCCTCTCATTTTTTTGCCCAAGTGCAATACTTTACATTTCTACCTGTTAAAATTCATCTTGTTTGTTTTGGCCCAGTTCTCTAATCTGTCAAGGTCATTTTGAAGTGTGATCCTGTCCTCTGGGGTGTTAGCCACCCCTCCCAGTTTGGTGTCATCTGCAAATTTGATCAGGATGCCCTTGAGTCCATCATCCAAGTCGTTGATAAAGATGTTGAATAAGACCGGGCCCAAGACAGAACCCTGTGGCACCCCACTAGTCACTCTTCTCCAGGATGAAGAGGAACCATTGATGAGTACCCTTTGGGTTCGGTCAGTCAGCCAGTTACAAATCCACTGAGTGGTTTCCTGCCTGAGCTCCTGACCCGCCCTGGCTCCCTGCTTGCAAGCCTATTCCTGACTTCACCCAACTCCCTGCCCTGCACCCTGATTCAGTTTCTACGGACTGCCTCCACGTTGCACCTTTGACCACGGACCGGACCTCGACCTCGCCTCTCGGGTAACCCACGGGACCAGCACAGTGGGGTAGGTTTGAATGTCCCCTCAGAAGCACAAGCCGAGAAACAAACTGATATGAGTTTTAAACTCTGCCCACAATATAGTAAATATTTGGGAATCAACATCACAAAATCATGGGCAGAATTATTTCAAGTTAACTTTTTACCCATGCTGAAAAGTGTTAAAGGGGATCTTGAAAGATGGTCAAAAGATTTCTATCCCTTGGGTGAGTTAGGCAGCGTCAGTCAAAATGATATTACCAAAAAAAAGTATTCTCGTCCCAAACTGTACCTATATGTATTTCAGCAAAGACCCTCAAGAAAAAGAAAAAAAAGAAAAAAGATTGCGAGCTTCATTCATCAAGGCAAGAGATCTAGACTGCAATGAACTGTATTGTATGAAGATTCCCAGAAGGAGAGTATGTAGTGGTACTTCACCCCAATATGTTCCGTCCTCGCATGGAACTTCTCACTCAGAGACGGCTTCGTGCAACTCTGATTGTCCTCTAGCAGCTTAACAGGTCCCTTGCTCACCAACCCAAAGTCCTTCATGAGTTGATCCAGCCAGTCAACCTCTCGGGACGCTTTTGTAGCTGCGACGTACTCTGCTTCTGTGGAAGACAATGCTACACAGTTCCGTTTATAACTACCACATGCAATAGGTCCATACCCAAACATAGACACATATCCACCTTCAGGTAGGTAGCCAGGTTGGTCTGATGAAGTCAAAATATATAGAAAAAATAAAAATGAAAATGTCCAGTAGCACCTTAGAGACCAACTAAGTTTGTTCTTGGTATAAGCTTTTGTGTGTACAGTGGTACCTCAGGTTACAGATGCTTCAGGTTACAGACGGTTTAGGTTACAGACTCCGCTAACCCAGAAATAGTACGAGTTAAGAACTTTGCTTCAGGATGAGAACAGAAATTGTGCTCCGGCGGCGCAGCGGCAGCAGGAGGCCCCATTAGCTAAAGTGGTGCTTAAGAACAGTTTCAGGTTAAGAACAGACCTCCAGAATGAATTAAGTACGTAACCAGAGGTACCACTGTATCTGAAGAAGTGTGCATGCACACAAAAGCTTATACCAGGGGTCAGCAAACTTTTTCAGCAGGGGGCCGGTCCACTGTCCCTCAGACCTTGTGGGGGGCTGGACTTTATTTGGAGGGGGGGAATGAACGAATTCCTATGCCCCACAAATAACCCAGAGATGCATTTTAAATAAAAGGACACATTCTACTCATGTATAAACATGCTGATTGCTGGACCGTCTGCGGGCTAGATTGGGCCGGATCTGGCCCCCTGGTCTTAGGTTGCCTACCCATGGCTTATACCAAGAACAAACTTAGTCTCTAAGGTGCTACTGGACATTTTTTTTTTCTTTTTTTCATATATTTTGACATATCCACCTGTCGTACAAAACATTCCCGAACATGCCCACTGTAGGAATGTTGTACTTGACTGCTATAGGTTATACACCCCACAGTACGCACAGGGTGGGGCTTGACACTGATTGACAGCTGTTGGCCGTCAGAGGGTTGAGGGTTGGGGTGGGAGTTTGGGCTAATGGGCAGGCAGGCATCCCAAGAGGCTCGCAGCCCAAGTGGCCGGCGGCGGCTTCAGGGGGCAGACCCTGGGACCAGAGGCGGGGCTTGCGGGGGTTTGATTGGCGGCGGAGCGTTTGGAATCGGAACCGAGTGACAGTTGGAGCTCTGGGGAGGGGCCCATTGCCGAGAGACGCCCGAGGGGGGCAAAAGCTGCTGGAGGCCGGGAATGTGGCCCCCTTTGCCTCGGCCAGGGCAGGGCATGTCGGTCCCATGGGTGCTGCTCCTGCTCCTTCTCCTCCTTGGCCCAGGTGGGTAAAAAGTGGGGGGGGGGAATTCAAGGGGGAGACCTTCCCCTCCCCTGTCTCTCCCTCTGTGGGTCCCAGCTGAGGAGCTCCAGAAGTCCATACATGCTCAGGTCCCCAAATCCGGTTTGTTTGTTTATTTGTCTCCTGCCCTATGTACTGCATTTATATATGCCACCTTTTCCTCCCCAAGGAGCTCAACATTTACTGTATTTTTCGCTCTATAAGACGCACCAGACCACAAGACGCACCTAGTTTTTGGAGGAGGAAAACAAGAAAAAAAATATTCTGAATCCCAGAAGCGAAAGCAGCGATCCCTCTTGCTGTTCTGGTTTCTGGGACTGCATTCGCTCTATAAGACGCACACACATTTCCTCTTACTTTTTAGGAGGGAAAAAGTGAGTCTTATAGAGCAAAAAATACGGTAATCCCCACATCAACCCTGTGAGGTAGGCTAGGCAGATAGGCCTAAATAGGATCCCCCTTAATAAATGGATAAACAATCTGCTGATACTTGCAGCTTATATCTTTAATGTCTGGCATTTTATTATTTTTTATATTTTGCTGGAAGCCGCCCAGAGTGGCTGGGAAACAAAGCCAGATGGGTGGGGTATAAACAACAAAACAACAACAACAACAACAATAATTAGACTGCTTACAGGGGTAGACTTTGTTTGGATAAATGTGACAATATTTGGAATGAGTTTATACAAAATGTAGTAGGCTATTAATATTTACATTAAGGTTACCAGACGTCCCCATTTCCCAGGACAGTCCCCGGATTTATAAATCAGTCCCCATACAAAATCCATTGAAGTTGAAAAGTGTCCCTGGATTAATTGCAAAAAATCTGGTAACCTTAATTTACATGTGTATTAGGATAATATCAAATTTATAAAAGAATGTATGGATTAGGGTATTTTTCATATATATTCATATATATATATATATATATATATATATATATATATATATCTTTTATCTTTCTTCTCTTCTCTTTGTATCACTTTATTTCTTTAAAATTGAACCATTTTCAATAAAATATTAATACACCCCCCCCCAAAAAGGCTAGGTTGAGAGGCAGTGGCTGGCCCCCAAAGACACACCCAGAGAGCTTCATGACGGCCAAGTGGGAAGATTTGAACCCAGGTCTCCCGGGTCCTAGCCCAACACTTCTAACCGCCACACCACTGCTAGCTTGTGTTGGCTCTGGAGCAGATAAAATAACAAACCCAAGAGTGTCTCTGAGCACCTACAGAGCGTTATATAATTAAGAAATAGGAATGAACTGGTCCAGAGCTCCCGGCCAATCGGGAAAGGCGTTCTGAGCAATTTTCAGCATCATCTGCCCTGCCTCTCTGGCTCCGAAGGCAGTGTGCTTATGACAAGTCTCTGAGAACACTTTTCGCCCTTTGAAAAACTGCTTTTCTTCCCAGGACTTATGGAAGCCTCTAAATACCTTTACTCCGAAGTGGTGATCCCACAAACGCTCGATCCGAAATCTGGCTTCTCCACTAAGGTAATTTTGCTGACACGCCACCTGCCTGAACTCATCGATCAATAGCTTACCTGACCTCGTAATACCCCAGGGGTGACTGACTGCTTTTTCGCGCGGTGCGTAGTTAATCTGCGGAACTCCTTGCCACTGGAGACAGGGGTGGCCACCGACTTAGATGGCTTTAAAAGGGGATTAGGCAAATTCAGGGCTATCGAAGGTGACTAGCCACTATGGCCATGCTCTGCCTCCGCACTTTGAGGCCGTGATGATTCTGAGGTGAAAAGTAAGAGTAGCAGGTGTGATTTGGGGGGAATCATGCTCCCAACACCTGCTCACTGCTGCTCTTTGCGAGACAGGGATGAGGCAGGGTACCAGCATTCAGCCCAAGCCCCTGTATTGGGAGGATGGCTCCATCCCTTGCGGGCAGGGCCAGATTGAGGTTTGATGAGGCCCTAAGCTACTGAAGGTAATAGGGCCCTTTATATGTCCAGTTGTCCTTTGTCAACAACAAATGGTCGCTGTTTTTTGTGTTGAATATATGTTGTTGTTGTTGTTTAGTCGTTTAGTCGTGTCCGACTCTTCATGACCCCCTGGACCAGAGCACGCCAGGCACTCCTGTCTTCCACTGCCTCCCGCAGTTTGGTCAAACTCATGCTGGTAGCTTCAAGAACACTATCCAACCATCTCGTCCTCCATCATCCCCTTCTCCTTGGGCCCTCCATCTTTCCCAACAGGGGGTCTTCTCTTCTCATGAGGTGGCCAAAGTATTGGAGCCTCAGCTTCATGATCTGTCCTTCCAGTGAGCACTCAGGGCTGATTTCCTTCAGAATGGATCGGTTTGATCTTCTTGCAGTCCATGGGACTCTCAAGAGTCTCCTCCAACACCATAATTCAAAAGCATCAATTATTCGGCTATTAGCCTTCTTTATGGTCCAGCTCTCACTTCCATACATCACTACTGGGAAAACCATAGCTTTAACTATACGGACCTTTGTTGGCAAGGTGATGTGTTGGATTTATATGCTAGATGGTAATTTATGGACCTGATGGGTATCTAAAGCCGTTTGCACAGGTTGCCATGCAACCAGTCCATGCAGAATGTAGGCACCCTATATATAGAAAGGAGCAAACCAGTGATATTTGAGGGAGCAGGCGAGCAGGCGGGGCCCATGACTTACATCCTAGGAGCCTACACAACACAAAAGACTGTTGCTCTATGTAGGTTTTATTTTATTTGTTTTTTATCTTATATTTTGGAAATGTACATCCAGTTGCTTTTTCCTTTAAATTTTTTTGGGTCCCCAAGAGAGTGGGGCCCTAAGCTATAGCTTGTTTAGCTTATACTTAAATCTAGCACTGCCCCCACCACGATCCTGCCCTGCCCTCCAGAATGCAGTTCCTGGCAGCAGCAGAGGACAAAGCCAGAAGGAGGCTTTTCTTTTCTTTTTTCCTGAGGAAGGTGATCTAAATAGCATTCGATATTCTGTACTGGGCCGACCGACCAATGCCTTGCTTCTAGATGCTAAGGCTTCATCTGTTGTTAAAAGCAGCAGTTCTAAATATGGACTCTAGGGGGCGATATCACACAATGCCCAGATGGGGGAGGACAGCAATTCATAACATTCCCAATATCTGCAATAAAAACCCCTTAAAGAAAGAAAAACCTCAATCCAAAATGAAGAACGGTTTTTGAGTGTGTATTACTGCTTGTCTTTTAAGACTAAGAGAGGGAGCTAAAGAATAGTAGCAATTCTATTATGAAAGTATACAGAATAGACTCATTATATCTGTAGAGGTAAATTGTCTCAGGTTTTAACTATATATATTTCATTTGAATCCTTTAGAGAGAAGTGTCTTACGTAATTAGAATTGAAGGATCTGACAGAACTATTCACCTTCGACAGAAGTAAGTGGTTGATTTTTCCATAGCAAAATGTCCATAGGAACATTCTGTTGGAATGTTCTGTTGGAACATTCTGGAATGACAGGCAGAAGTGGCCAATAATCAGAAATCGTTTGCTGAGTCTAGACACGGCATTTTGCAAGTACACCCTGCGTTTCTAATGCAAGCTTTCTATTTGCAGATTCTTTATATTTCGAAATATGCCTGTTTACTCCTTTAATACAGAAGGAAAACGTCAAGTGCAGAACCCATATATCCAGGTTCATTTTATTCATATTTTTAGAAGGGCAAAGATGACATTAAACATGGATTATTTTAATATATAGAGAGAGATAGATTTAATATCTGGAGTCTGGGGCCCAAGTCGGTGCCACTGGCCCTCACCTTTCTCAGTGGCTCATGCATTCTTTTTCTTTAGGGAAAGGGTGATCTCCCTTTTGACTTGCGCCATTTCAACCTTGTGCGATTGGAATTGTGCAAATTAAATGCATGCAAAGTGGAAAGAGCTTTTAAGCTCCCTGTCCTGCTTACTGGGCAAGGCCCTCACAGCGTGTTGGCTCTGGGAGCCTGGGGACAGCCCCGCAAAGTCTCTGGCGACATCTCACAAGAGCAGCCCAGAGCCCACGCAGTGCGCTGATTCCAGGAGGGTGAGAATGCTGGCGCAGGTTCAATGCGCTTATATGCGCCATCCTTGGAATGTAAGCTCTGTGTAAGATGGGATCATAATGTAGCTCACAGTCATTTCAGGTAGCCCCTCTCCGATGAAAATAGAGACCTCCTATTCTATTATTATTATTATTATTATTATTATTATTATTATTATTTGATTTATACCCCGTCCATCTGACTGGATTGCCCCAGCCATTCTGGGCAGCTTTCAACCTATGTTAAAACATTAAACATTTTTTTAAAAACCTTCCCTATGCAGGGCTGCCTTCAGATGTCTTCTAGAGATCATGGAGTTATTTACATAGCTGTCAACGTTTCCCTTTTTTAAAGGGAAATTCCCTTATTCTGAACAGGATTCCTCGCAAGAAAAGGGAAAAGTTGACAGCTATGGTTACTTATCTCCTTGGCTCGGGGGTCATATAACTCCAACACCCCCACACAGACACATTTTGATGAAAATAGGGACGTCCTAAGGAAAAGCAGGACATTCAGGGATCAAATCAGAAACTGGGGCAGCTTCTGTAAATCCAGGACTGTCCCTGGAAAACAGGGACACTTGCAGGGTCTGGTCTTGCCCTCGGTTTGTCTTGGGCAGTATTCAAGCGCAGATGCCCAAATCTAGTGAGGGGGTGACATGTACATGTGGCATTTGTGGGGCTTTTAAGCCTCTTGCTGACACCATCCCGCAATCGTAGCCCCAGTTGGATAATGGTCCGTATTCCTGAGTATCTGCTTGAAAGCTGAGAAGAGAAGGAGGACAGTGATCCATTGCATCTCCTCCTGCTTTCAAACAATATTGCCAGAGATCAGTGGGAGGACTTTGTGAATACAGCAGCTCCCTGCTCCTCACTGTTGCTGTTGGAGCAGGAGCAAGTGTCTTTGTAACCATCTAATGAAAAGCAAAAAAGAATCCCGTCCCATCAGGTTCTTGCCATCTCTGCCCTCTGAATTCAACCGTAAATTCCACCCGTTTCATTAATACACAATCAGTTTGTAGGTTAGTTACGAACCACAATGTGTGTCGGTTAGCCAAGATTCCTGTCCTTGAGCCCTGAACTCTACCTCCACCTCTCTCTCAAATCAGAACCAGTGAAGGTGGTGAAGGTCCTGTGTGAGTGTCTGGAGGCAGTTGGAGGATGGATGGCGGCTAACAGATTGAGGTTGAATCCTGACAAGACAGAAGTACTGTTCTTGGGGGACAGGAGGCGGCTGGGTGTGGGGGACTCCCTGGTCCTGAATGGGGTAACTGTGCCCCTGAAGGACCAGGTGCGCAGCCTGGGAGTCATTCTGGACTCACAGATGTCCATGGAGGTGCAGGTCAATTCTGTGCCCAGGGCAGCTGTTTACCAGCTCCGTCTGGTACGCAGGCTGAGACCCTACCTGTCCACGGACTGTCTGGCCAGAGTGGTGCATGCTCTGGTTATCTCCCGCTTGGACTACTGCAATGCGCTCTACGTGGGACTACCTTTGAAGATGACCCGGAAACTGCAACTAATCCAGAATGCAGCAGCCAGACTGGTGACTGTGAGTGGCCGCCGAGACCATATAACACGAGGCTTGACAACCATATGTCAGGAGTGCTCTGATGGTGTTTCCTGCTTGGCAGGGGGTTGGACTCGATGGCCCTTGTGGTCTCTTCCAACTCTATGATTCTATGATTCTATGATTCTATGATTCTATTATTCTAACACCAGTCTTGAAAGACTTACACTGGCTCCCAGTATGTTTCTGAGCACAATTCAAAGTGTTGGTGCTGACCTTGAAAGCCCTAAATGGCCTCATTCCAGTATACCTGAAGGAGCGTCTCCACCCCCATCATTCTGCCCGGACACTGAGGTCCAGCACCAAGGGCCTTCTGGCGGTTCCCTCACTGCGAGAAGCCAAGTTACAGGGAACCAGGCAGAGGGCCTTTTCGGTAGTGGCACCCGCCCTGTGGAACACCCTCCCACCAGATGTCAAAGAGAACAACAACTACCTGACATTTAGAAGACATCTGAAGGCAGCCCTGTTTAGGGAAGCTTTTACTGTAATGTTTAATAGATTATTGTATTTTAATATTCTGTTGGAAGCCACCCAGAGTGGCTGGGGAAACCCAGCCAGATGGGCGGGGTATAAATAATATAATAATAATAATAATAATAATAATAATAATAATAATAATAATAATAATGTGGCTCCTTTGGGTAGAAGGAACCTGGTTAATTCAGTTCTGTTCCGACCCGTTCCGAAGTACTGTTTTTGAACCTTGCAGGTTGACTGCTATTACGGTGGATATGTGGAAGCCTTGCCAGACTCCAACGTCATCCTGTCTACCTGCCATGGGCTTTGGTAATGTGCATCTTCCCTAGGCGTTGAAAACTATTGCGGCTGATCTGGGGGTTGGGATCTTCGTGCCTAGGCCTCTTGGACTCGTAGCCCAGCAGGCTGAATGCAGACCCTCATCAGACGCTCACAACTGTGTTTTTTCTTCAGTGCTCCCTAGGCAGGACAAAACCAAGGGGTTAATCATAGGCTGCCTAGGCTGCAAAACAGGCCTGGTGAAATGCTTTGGCACAGGAGATCACAAGATCTGACCTCTCTCTTTTGCGCGCGCACACACACACACCTCCCGAGGGTTTGTGACCCATTGACTACCCTCACCTGGTTTATCCAGCCCAGGGCCGGATTTAGGTTTGATGAGGCCGTAAGCTCCTGAAGGCAGTGGGGCCCTTTATATGTCCAGCTGTCCTTTGTCAACCAAAAATTGTCCCTATTTTTTGTGTTGAATATATGCTAGATGGTAATTTATGGACCTAATAGGTATCTAAAGCCATTTGCACATAACAAAGTATGTGTTTTATCAAAGTAACTGTTGAACTGAAATACATCTAAGAAGTATATTAATAGTGAAATACAATTAAGAAGAAGTATATTAATAGTGAAATCATTATTAAGCTCTAACTTAAAATGATTTTTTATTCATAACAAACTTAATAATGCAAACACATTGGCATTTGGCAATAATAAAAGTTTCTTTAGAAACACAATTTACAGACACTCATAATCTACTCTCCAGAAACTTGCTATAACATGACATAATAATAGGTGTAAATATATGGTGCAAACTACTAATAACGATAAATAGCAGAATGTAGGCACCCTATATATAGAAAGGAGCAAAGCAGTGATATTTTAGGGAGCAGGCTAGCAGACGGGGCCCATAACGTACATCCTAGGAGCCTACACAACACAAAACACTGTTGCTGTATGTAGGTTTTATTCTATTTGTTTTTTATCTTATATTATGGGAATATACATCCAGGTTTTTTCCCCTTGAAATGTTTTGGGGGCCCTCAAGCATGTGGGACCCTAAGCTATAGCTTGTTTAGTTTACATGTAAATCCGGCACTGAGCCGGCCAGTCGAAGCCGTTCCCAGGATTGTGGCGGCTGTGTCATGCTGACGTGCAGGAGACGGAGGTGAGAGCTGGGAGCAGGATGGGGAGCAAAGGTGGATAAACTATCCCAGTGCCTGGAAACCCTGGAATCTCGAACTGCTCAGAAGTTAGGGTGGCATGCAGCAATATTCATCCTTAAAGAGCAGGTCGGTTTTAAGAATTGGTGGGTAGCTGTACTGGGAGTTTTCCTTCTTTTTCTTCATTCTGTCATCACTCCGCTGCTCAGTCACATCTTGTTGCTGGGGCAGAATTCCCCTGGGAACGACCTGGAGAAATACTTAGGGGGAAGATGCTTCCCACATTGCGGCTAATGGGCAGAGCATCTTTCGTCTCTCCAAGAATGTCCCTTGGAACTTGTTTTTGAGCTGGGAACCAAAACTTCCACATAGTTTCTGCCTGCCAACAAGCCTGTATCTTTTTTCTGTCTCACGTCTCATTGTATTGAAAGTTGTTGTGCTTTTATGATGTATCCCATTTTTATTCATTATTACATTTCTTTCCTACCTTTCCTCAGTGGAGCTCAAGGTCTCACAAAAGCTTCTCCCTTATCCATTTTATCCATTGCATAAAGTACAATAATAATAAAATAAGCTGCTATTATTATTATTATTATTATTATTATTATTATTTATTGGATTCCTTGTACAGTCGTACTGTGGAAGTCGAACACAATCTGTTCCGGAAGTCCATTCAACTTCCAAAACATTTGAAAACCAAATCGCGGCTTCTGATTGGCTGCAGGAAGCCGCAGAAGCCCCATCGGACATTCCGGTTCTAAAAGAACATTTGCAAACTGGAGCAATCACTTCTGGGTTTGCGGAATTTGGGAGCCAAAACATCAGAGTTCCAGGGCGCTTGGGGTCTACGGTACGACTGTATAGCTTGCCAAACCGCTCCTAATGATCCTTTCATTTTGGTTTTCAGGGGACATATACAGATTGGACAATTGCAGTATGAGATACATCCTTTTGAGGGTTCCTCTACGCACCAACACTTTCTCTACCGCATGGCCCCAGAGCAGCAGGAGCCATGCAGAGGGATCCCTGATCCCCAGAAGCAGCTGCCAAGGCATGAGATAGAATTTACTCCAGCCACAGTGTCCTCCGAGGAGAAGGTAAGCTTTCATCCACTAAACCTGAGGAGTCAGTGGAAACTCTATACCCCAGGGGTGTGGTGTTGGGCTCCATGTTCTAAGGCAGGGTTTCCCAAACTTGAGCATCCAGCTGTTATGGACTACAAATCCCATCACTGGTCCAGATAGCTAGGGATGGTGGGAGTTGTAGTTTGGGAAACCCTGGTCTAAGCAGCCTCAGATACATGCAGTCACATTTATGCCTCTCCAGCGAGAAGCCCAAATACCCGCCATGTTTGGATACATCCTTTTCATATGCCGTATTTTTCGCTGTATTGTACGCACTTTTTCCCCTCCAAAAATTGAGGGGAAATGTGTGTGTGTCCTATGGAACGAATGCAGGCTCCTTGGCTTCAGCGATAGCAACGCTAAGCCTCCGAAGCGCAGAGGGAGCGCTCCCTCCATGCTCCAAAGGCTTCGCATTGCTTTCGCTGAAGCCTGGAGAGTGAGAGGCGTCTGTGCGCACCGACCCCTCGCACTCTCCAGGCTTCAGGGATAGCCGCGCAACCCCTCCGGCAGGTGGCTATGGCTCCTTTAGCCCCGCGCAGCCTCTCCACGCAGGGAGAGGTCGCATGGGGCTAAAGAGGAAGCCAAAACAGCCAGCGGGATGGATCCTGCTAGCTGCCTTGGCTTGTGCCATAGCCGTGCGCAACCCCTCCGGCAGGGAGAGGCTGCACGGGGCTATGGCTTCTTTAGCCTCGCAGCCTCGCCAAAACAGCAAGTGGGATCCATCCCGCTGGCTGCCTTGGCTTGTGCCATAAGCACTGCAAGGCAGGGAGAGGTTGCGCCTGTACGCTGCTCTTTGGGGTTGGGGGGGAAATAAGATTTTTTTTCTTGATTCCCCCCCCCCCCCTAAAAAATAGTTGCGCCCTATGGTCCGGTGCGCCCTATGGAGCGAAAAATGATTTTCTTTCAACGTTTAACACCTTGTGAATTTTAAATCCCAATTCCATAACTTCTCCCGTGCTGTAAGTTGTATATTACACCCAAACCCCAGTGTTTCATTACTCTTTCCTGATGGACTTGACTGGGGTGGACCCAACATTAGATCCATCAGATTTGCCAGCTGCATCTGCCGCTTCCAGCCCAATGGATTTCCTGCAGAAGTGGTACAATGTCTGCAGCTCCACATTTCTTTGATTTGCCTCCTACAAACCCAGAGCTGTGTGCATTTCATTTCAGACAGAGTTCCCTGGAGCTGATGCACCATCCAGATACCTCGAGTATTTTGCTGTTTGCGACAATTCCATAGTAAGTGGTGATATCCTGTATTCTCCGCCTGTAAGAGTTATGCATGTCTGTCTGCCTGCTTAGCGGCTTCCTTCATAGAATCATAGAATCATAGAGTTGGAAGAGACCACAAGGGCCATCGAGTCCAACCCCCTGCCAAGCAGGAAACACCATCAGAGCACTCCTGACCTATGGTTGTCAAGCCTCTGCTTAAAGACCTCCAAAGAAGAAGACTCCACCTTGCAGTGCTTCAAGCATCATAGGCTTAAGAAAGAGGGAAACCGACTTTCAGATTAGAGGACAAGCAATTCTCCTCACTGATTAGCAGATTGCAAAAGTTAATATAGATGAAGAGAGCCTAATTACTTACCCTGACTGTGGAATTTTATTGAAAGACAGCACCTTCCCGGAATGCCCTGTGGTGTGGCACGTTTTGGCAGTCTTCAAAAGCATTTAAAGATAAAATGCAATAGAATGACCGCTCCCCACATCAAATGGGGGGTGCCTTTTGTGTGGTCACGCGCAGCCCCCACGATCCCATGTGGCTCCCGGCAGTACAGCCTGGATCTGTGCCCCACCCCAGGCTGGACACTCTGCCAGTTACCCAATCCCAGCTGGGGAGGCGTTGCCAGGAGAGAGTTGGCCAGGTAAGGGGAGGGATCGCCCTGCCCACACAATAGTGGGCAGAACTTACCTGGGAGTTCTCAGTCGGCTTCAGAGCTTCTCCCACCCTGCCCTCCCTCAGTTAAGCCTTCTTTCGCAGGTTAACCTCTTCTTCACAGGTACGCGGGCGCTGCTACGCTATGGTCGCTGTTGAAGGGCCAGAAAGGGATTTTCCTGCATTGGCAGGTTTTGCCTTCCCCATAGCAAAACGTCACAACTTTGGTGGTTTCAGGCCTTGGGCGGAATCCTTTAGTCCAGGGGTGGCCAACTCCCAAGAGACTGACAGTGATCTATCCCCTTTTTGAGGATTCAAGTCAAGGTTGTTGACCTCCTTTTTTTAGGGAGGGGAAAACCCATGCAGGGCAAAAATGTTGAACTTTTTTTAGGGGAGCCAAACTTGTTGAGCTTCTTTGGGGGGAGCCAGTGATCTACCAGTGATCTACCACAGACGTCCAGTGATCTACCGGTAGATCACGATCTACCTGTTGGATGTGCCTGCTTTAGTCTATCTCCCCTAAATGGGGGAGGCGTGAAGCGGTGACCCACGCCCCCGCTGCGGCGTCAATCCCAGGGTTCCCCGTTAAAGCGGTTGTTTTGAGGGGAGTCATTGGCCATAAGCCGAGAGGATGTCATTGGTCTCCCCCATGTAGCGGCGAATTGGGGGATGGGCTCTCTGCTTGAACAGACTTTCTCCAGAGCCAGCCCAATCCCCACACATTCTGGATAGCCCTGATGTTCCCCAGATCTCCAGCCGGGGACTGGGAGGAATAAACGCCCAATGCCTAAGCCAAAGTCTCCCTACATCTGAAGTTTTAATAAAGTTGTGGCCAAAATTTTAATCCCGTAACACGTTGTCTTGAGTCATTATTCCACTTGGGTGTCGCCTGGGGTTGGAGGGGGGTCAAATGCAATAAAGAAAGATGTCAGCCCTAGCTTATAAAGAACTCTTTTATTTTAGTATCAGCAGAAAAAGAAAAACGTGACTCAGGTGATATTGATGGTGCTTCAGATTCTATCTGTCCTTCACAATGTATGTATGTTTATTGGAAATTTCTGAATAATGTTCTGTGTCTTGCCTGGGGGAGGAAAGAGGTGAAAAGCACTATCTTAACTTGAAGAACGGAGGACAAAGGGCACATCGCATGCAAAGGCATCGTGAGACGCTCTGGTCTTTGGGGAAGAGTTTCCCTTTTGCAAAGAGGGAGAAGGGGGATTTATGTGTTAGCTGGAGCGAAACTTTCTTGCCGCGATAGTCAAATGTAAAGGGTGATGAGCTGTGCATATTGCAGGTATTAATACTGCGCAGTTTGAAGCAACTGGAAGCATAAGAATTGGCTCCTTTTGGAAGAAATCATTGTCCTGGCCCATAAAAACATTATTCAAACTTTCACTTGCAGAACTTTCTTCATAACAGAATTAAAACATCAAATATACACCCAAAACATCCCTACGATGTATTGTATTGTGCTGTCCAGCACAGGCTCAGCATCTTACAATAAAAGATAACTCCAGAAATCAAAATGTGTCTCTCTCCCTCATTCCAGCTTCTTGGAGAGCCATTATCACATACTTCTGTTCTCTGTCGCTTTCAGAGAAAAACTAACAATCACAACCCTTTCAAGAAGGCGAATTTGCAGCTCAATGCCTTTTTCAGCTGATTTAAGGTTACAACACTCACCTGTTAGCTAGCAGAAAACAACAGTTAATTATCAGCTCGGCAAGAGCTCAGAGTCTACAGTAGTTTTCTAACCACTGTGGGGCAAACCCAGTGTTAGCAATACACATTTAAGCATTTTCCATTTTAAACCTTCATTGATAAGGAAGCATTTCCCCATTTCTGTGTGAATTAAATCAAATCAAATGTCCCTGGTGTGACTTCATTAGGTTAGACTCCTGCCACACCTTTTGCATAATGGGTGAGAGTCGCTCCTAATGCACAGGGTAAGTAGAAGACAGCAGTTATTACTGCCTTGCAGGGGGTTGGACTAGATGACCCTTGGGGTCCCTACAATTCTATGAGTCTAAGATTTAACAAGTTGCCTTGCGTGTCTCAAGCCTTGACTTGATACACCACTTTCCTGTAGCTTGGGGAATTTCTGTAGTCAAACTGCAACAAGACAGCTCTGCAGGGTAGCAGGTGGGAGAGACTCTGAGCACATAAATTGATTGCTTTGGTGTGAACTGCCAGGGCATCAGGCATAGAAATGTATTTAATAATAATAACAATAAATAAATACAGTCATACCTCATGTTACGTTTGCTTCAGGTTGAGTGCTTTCAGGTTGCGTCCCGCGGCGACCCGGAAGTACCGGAAAGGGTTACTTCCGGGTTTCGCTGCTTGTGCATGCGCAGACATCATGCGCAGAAGCAGCGAATTGCAACCCGCACACGCGCAGACGTGGGTTGCATTCTGCTCATGTTGCGAACGGGCCTCTGGAATGGATCCCGTTCGCAACCAGAGGTACCACTGTAAATAAATATTACTAATAATGAACAATTGATTGATGGTAATGTGTTCAAAGCACTTAACACATGCTTTGTCTTACAACAACCCTGTAAGGTAGATCAGCATTATTATAACTGTGTGTGTCTGTCTATAGAACCATAGAATTGTAGAGTTGGAAGGGGACCCTGGGGGTTGGGTCACCTAGTCCCCATCTTTTGCGCCACATGGGTCTTGAACCCCATGACCCTGAGATTAAGAGTCTCACGCTATCTTATGCATGTGTCTATATATATATTATCAGTATGTTTTATAAGCACATACTGATTTCCTATTTTCTGTTTTCAGATATATGACGACATAGGTCTTCACGTTGTTTTGACAGGAATAGAGGTGTGGACAAGGCAAGATCTGGCAGGCAGCGATACCGGTTTGCAAGCGTTTCACAACTACGTCACCTCCGAGCTTCGGACTCAAGTCCATTTCGACCATGCCTCCTTATTCACGTGAGACTCTTCCCCATTTCCATTGCTGGGAGTGTATGGTCACCCTGCTTTGCCTGCCTGCTGCTGAATAGAATAGAATAGAATAGAACAGAACAGAATTTATTATTTATACCCCACCCATCTGGCTGGGTTTCCGCAGCCACTCTGGGCAGCTTCCAGCAAGGATTAAAAATACATCAAAATGTCACACATTAAAAGCTTCCCTGAACAGGGCTGCCTTCAGATGTCTTCTAAATGTCAGGTAGTTATTTATCACTTTGACATCTGGTGGGAGGGCGTTCCACAGGGTGGGCACAACCACCAAGAAGGCCCTCTGCCTGGTTCCCTGTAACTTGACTTCTCGCAATGAGGGAACTGCCAGAAGGCCCTTGGCGCTGGACCTCAGTGTCCGGGCAGAACGATGGGGGTGGAGACACTCCTTCAGGTATACTGGACCGAGGCTGTTTAGGGCTTTCAAGGTCAGCTCCAACACTTTGAATTGTGCCCAGAAACGTACTGGGAGCCAATGTAGGTCTTTCAAGACTGGTGTTATGTGGTCTCGGCGGCCACTCCCAGTCACCAGTCTACCTGCCGCATTCTGGATTAATTGCAGTTTCCTGGTCCCCTTCAAAGGTAGCCCCACATAGAGCACATTGCAGTAGTCCAAGCGAGAGATAACCAGAGCATGCACCACTCTGGAGAGACAGTCTGCGGGCAGGTAGGGTCTCATCCTGCACACCAGATGGAGCTGATAAACAGCTGCCCTGGACACAGAATTGACCTGCGCCTCCATGGACAGCTGTGAGTCCAAAATGACTCCCAGGCTGCGCACCTGGTCCTTCAGGGGCACAGTTACCCCATTCAGGACCAGGGAGTCCTCCACACCTGCCCGCCCCCTGTCCCCCAAGAAATATCAACAAATGTTATCTGTCCTTGCCCCTATAATTTAAGGATCCAGTTATGCCCTGAATTTTGACATCTTCTCTTTTCTAGGGCTGTGGGTCAACATAATTCCTTTGGGAACTCGTGGGAAGAACGTTTTTGTCTTCAGGATCATGTCTCAGTTTCTTCTGTCAGAGTAAGTGGTGTGGTACATTATTTGATGTGACCTTGCCAGTCCCTGGTCCCTTTAATTCACATGTTTTTATACACTAGCGTTAAGCTATGATGCCTATTTATTTGTACCCTACTTTTCAGCCAGAGCACCCTCCCTCAGACTCCCTCCAGAGCAGTTTACGTGAAATCCAAACAAGACAGGCTTACATTCTAATAAACAAAGAATGAAATTAATAAAAACACAATACACAGGGTGAAGGGGACAAGGAGGGAAGGGGGAAATTAAACTCAAAATTCCAGCACCAGTTTCTAGACAGTTGTTCCTATATTGACCAGCTGCTTGGGGCTTCTCTGTACAGTGGTACTTCAGGTTAAGAACTTAATTCGTTCTTGAGGTCCGTACTTAACCTGAAACTGTTCTTAACCTGAAGCACCACTTTAGCTAATGGGGCCTCCTGCTGCTGCCGCGCCACTGGAGCACGATTTCTGTTCTCATCCTGAAGCAAAGTTCTTAACCCGAGGTACTATTTCTGGGTTAGCGGAGTCTGTAACCTGAAGCGTATGTAACCTGAAGCGTCTGTAACCCGAGGTACCACTGTATACTACTTTTTAAATTAATAGGTTTTCAGTGATGCTCCATAGTAGTCTGAAATAATAATAATAATGACAAGACCAACAGTACAAAATACCAGCTGAAGAGAATGAAACCGTATGACCATTGGATACTGAAAAATCAGACCTTTGTTTTACGACTCAACGTTTTATCTATTTCCTCCAATTTCTGTATACAAGTCACAACATGGTGATGGACTTCTTTGATTTTCCCTGTGATAACATTTATATCGAAAATGTAAGAAAAGCCCTGCTGGATCAGGCCAGTGGCCCATCTAGTCCAGCATTCTGTTCTCACGAGGGTCAACCAGATGTCTACCCATAAGTAGGACCCGAGTACAACAACACTCTCTGCTTCATACTGGCTGCCTTGCAGAACATCCTGGGGAGAAGAAAGGGCTCAAGAGTTAACCCTGCCTAAACCTGGAGCTGCTGTTTTGCCGCTTTATCGTGCAACCCAAAATGGGTTGTTGTTTTTTTGCAAAAAGCTTTGGATAATCTACTCCCCCTGCAGAACCACAATTCGCAGGCAATCCTGTGCACTCCTGCATTCTCAAAAAGGTTTCCTTGTTTTATTTTTTATTGAATACAGCAAGAAAAGAAAACACAGATACAGAATTACACACAGGAATAACAATAAACACAAAATTTTCTTAACAAACAATAAAACACAATAGACCCGACCTCCCGTCTATTCCTTATTTCAATTTCATATTACTTATTGCCAATACACACTTTTATCACCATTTAACTTTTTCTTACTATATCTTAGCTCTTATGTCTAACTTGCAACTGTTACTGAAGTTCCTCAAATGCTGTGCATTCCCCGAAAGGTTTCAATCGCCTTTGGGCTCAATTCCCTGTCCTTCTTTTTCCTCCCCTGCATACAGACATCCTTGTCTTTAACAAATGACGGCGTATCAGCCGCCCATCAGCTGGGCCACGCGGTTTTTGGCTTTGTCCATGACGACCTTCCAGAGCTTAAAGGCAGAAGGTGTGACTGCACCTGCACCTCGGAGCGTGGCCGCTGCGTCATGCATTCAGCCGTTGCGTAAGTAGGGGGTCAGTGCTCCTTCGACCGCTGTAGTTTTGACTCTGGAAATAAAGCATCTTTGTTGGTTATATTCTTGGTCACTGCCCAAGTCAGCCTTGAAAAGCTGTTGGCGGACAAAAGCACCGCACTCTATAGCCAAATTAGACTGGACGTAACTGTCCAGGCGTCCTTTAACTTGACCAGTCAACCCCCCCTTCAGACATATTTATTTTTGGGGGGGAAGCACGACCCAATGATTTCAGTTGAACTGATTGGTAACTGGGACTGACCAATATGATCATATCACACCAGTCTGTTTCCAAAGCTGGTCTTAACCTTGAATGTTTTGGGTCCACATTCCCTGAAGGATTGTCCCATATATACCTGTTTGAGTCTCAAGATCACCTCCAGAGCCTCTTCTCCACCAGATGATAATAATAATAATAATAATAATAATAATAATAATAATAATAATAATAATACAATTTATTTATACCATGCCCTCCCCAGCCAAGACAAGACTGGGCTCAGGGCGGCTAACACCAGGTGTTAAAACAATTGATTAAAGTACAACTAAGAACAAGAGTGTTCCACCAGGCCAGAGCCAGTGTTGAAAAGACCCTGGCCCTGGTTGAGGCTAATTTGACTTCCTTAGGGCCCGGGACCTCTAGGGTGTTGCTATTTATGGACCTTAAGGTCCTCCACGGGGCATACCAGGAGAGGCGACCCCATAGGTACGAGGGTCCTAGCCGTGATGAGGTGGGGCAGATGCCACAGGGAGAGATCCTTCTTGGTGGTGGCCCCCAGGTTGTGGAATTCCCTCCCCAACGAGGTATTTTCAGGAACAGGCAAGTGTCCTTTTCATTTCCCCAGGCTTAAGTTATTTTTATGCCCTTTGCGCCATTCTTTTCCATTGCCTATTTTATTCTCAGGCTCTTTTAATCATTTTGGATTGTATGGCCGCGTTCCATTTTACATGCTGCAATTTTAACTTTCATTTGTCAAGCACCCAGGAAGCCTTTTTGTTTGTTTGTTAACGAGCAGCGTGGAAATAAAAAGTAAAATAAAAGGACTGCTGTTCTGCTAACAGTTTGTTGTCTTTTATTGCAGAGGGTGTCACCGATTTAGTAACTGCAGCAAAAATGCATATTACGAATTCCTAGCAAACCGGGGGAAATTTTGTTTGCTGAATCTGCCTAGGGACTCATTTGAAAGCTACTCTGAGAATACATTTAACATAAAGATGTGCGGAAACGGAGTGGTGGAAGGCGAGGAAGAATGTGACTGTGGTAGGCCTGAGGTTAGAGGGTGTTATTAAATATATATGTTTTCTGCCTTGACGGGCATGGAGTTTCCTTGCTTTTTAATTTGCCCTAAGGTTCTTGCATCCTGTTTTGTTAGCAAATTAACAACTCCTTTCGTTAAAACATGAACTTAACTTTGCTTCCCAGGCACATTATCTCCAGTTTAATTCTCATTTTAAAATCCCAAATCCCGGAATACATCCCGGGGAGCATATAGATTGAATGTGTCTTCTCTGGTTAAGAATCCCCTGGTGACTTGATGGCAGATTAGAACTTAGAATACATTTTGGCTACTGTTGATTTTAATCATTTTTGGAATATTAATGCTTTGTTTTATATTTTTGGCAAGGAGGAGTTGTTCATTTACAATCAAGCAGTATAATAAATTTTGTAAAATGATCTCCACATCCACAAATCAGAATGAATGCCCACTAAACAGCAAACGTAGTAGAATCTCCCTACAAACTTTGTCCAAACCAACTGAGATGAATGCTCACAAGTATCTCCTGTTTTTCTGTTTCACAAACCAATGCACAGAATGATAAAGGTTTTTTTAAAATTTATAGAGAGTGGTACCTTGGTTCTCAAACTTAATCTGTTCCGGAAGTCCATTCCAAAACCAAAGCGTTCCAAAACCAAGGCACTCTTTCCTATAGAAAGTAATGCAAAACGGATTAATCTGTTCCAGACTTTTAAAAACTACCCCTAAAACGGCAATTTAACATGAATTTTACTACCTAACAAGACCATTGATCCATAAAATGAAAGCAATAATCATTTTACTGTACTATAAAATAAATAAGACAGTATTGTAGATAATAAAAATAAAATCCCCCCCCCACCTTACTTGCACTGATGATAGTCATTTTTTGTATGGGGGGCTTTTATCCATTTCCACAATCACACAATCACACACAGTCAGCTGAACTGGGTTCCACACAGTCACAAAAACAAATTACCAAAAAAGCCTCAAAAACAAAAACGCAAAATAAATAGCAAAAACAAAAGCGCAAAATACAGTGGTACCTTGGTTCTCGAACTTAATCCGTTCCGGGAGTCCGTTTGACTTCGGAAATGTTCGAAAACCAAGTCGCGGCTTCCGATTGGTGCAGGTGCCCCGGAAACAACAGCTGCATCGAATGCTCGGCTTCCGAAAAACATTCGAAACCCGGAACACTGACTTCCAGGTTTTTGGCATTTGGGAACCAAGGCGTTTGAGTACCAAGGCATTTGAGAACCAAGGTACCACTGTATTTAAAAACTGGCAGGATGAAAGCGTGGGTGAGACGGGAGACTCTGTAATTTTCTTTTTTTTTTTCTTGGAAAAGGATCTAAAAGAACTGCAGGACGTTGCTTCACTATCGGAAAGCAGAGTACAAGAACTGAAAAGGCTGGAGGTAAGTTGTGGCTAAAACCAACTGCCCTTTGTCACTGTCATTCAAGAGCACTGCTCTGGCCCCAAGGAGCCTGCACAGATCCTGCAAAGTCTAATGTAGATCTTCCCGTTGTTGTACGGCGAGTGGCCCACTGGGAGTGAGGGTTGAAGGCAGCTGGAAGTTGAGCTGACACAACTAAAACGATCTAAAATGTATAAGAACATTTCAAGTAACTGCTGGAGATGTGGGGAAGCGGAAGGCTCAATGCTACACACCGTATTTTTCGCTCCATAAGACGCACCTAGTTTTTAGAGGAGGAAAACAAGGGGGGGGGGATTCTGAACGAAACAGTGGATGTATGATTTTTGTGGTTCATGCTGTGGCCACAGACATGTGATCTGATGGTGAATTTGGGGTGACCCAATGCAAAAATCCTGAGGATCCATGTGGATCCGTGCTTTGTAACCACGTTTTTGCGATATTGCGGCCCCACGCAACAGTGGGTGCGTAATTTTTTTGCTGCAGGCTGTAGCCATGGACATGCTATGTGATCTGATGGTGAATTTGGTGTGACCCAATGCAAAAATCCTGAGGATCCATGGGCTTTTACCTCCCCTCTCCCAGGCAGCCTCCGCTAGGTCCCTTATCTCTCTTCCGATCCCACCGATCAGCTGCTTCCTTTCAACACCCCCTTCCCTCTTGTTTGCCTTAGTGTCTTTTCCTTAGCTGGAGCAGTTTTTTGCTCCTCCTTTTCTTCTAATTTCTCTCCTCATTGCTTTAGTCTTCTTGTTTCCCCCATTTGCAAGTTTTCTGTCTTTACCTCCCCTCTCCCAGGCAGCCTTCTTTATTGCTATCATCCCTTATCTCTCTCCCCGATCGCTTTGTTTCAACACCCACTTCCCTCTTTCAAAAAAAGAGAGCATGATCTGCTTTTCACCCCTGGGCAATTTGGCTCCAGGGACTACGCATTCGCTCCATAAGACGCACAGACATTTTCCCTTACTTTTTAGGAAGAAAAGAGTGTGTCTTATGGAGTGAAAATTACGGTATGTGGTGGACCTGTAAGAAAATAAACGAATTTTGGGATGTAATTTATAATGAACTCAAAAGAATGATTAAGGTATCTTTCATTTTAAAACCCCCCGGATGTTTTCCTCCTGGGGTACTAGGCCCAGATATACCTAAAAACTCGAGAGAAATATTCTTGTATGCCATGATAGCTGCAAGAATATCAATTGCTACAAATTGGAAAGGAGAGAAAATGTCGACAAAGCTGGAGTGGCAAAATAAACTGTTGAAATATGCAGAAAAATATGCAGAAAAACTGAGAGGTCACACTGACCAAACATTTATTAGGAAATGGGACATGTACAAAAAAAAATACCTTAAGGATTACTGTAATAACATGACGTCAGTGGCAGCCCTTGAATGACTTCTGTGGTATGATGGATAATGGTAGGAGAATATAATACTGATGAAACTTAACAAGAGAAAACGAAATTAAATAGTGCGCTAGATAGACTAAGAGGTAGGCGCATGATGGGGTGGCGGGAAGTCGTTAGAAGTTCAAGAAGAACGTATTGTGATGTGATGTAACAAATATTACCATTTTCTTTTCTTTCTTCTGGATAACCCTTTTGTTTGTTACTTCTTTTTAATCTCAATGAACCATATGTGTGTGTGTGTGTGTGAATGAAGTTGAGCGTGAGGCTCTGAGATCAGAGGTTTGCAGAGAGTGGTACCCTCTTCCATCCCGCCAGTTTTCCCTCCATAGGGTGCCACAGGGGGTGGGGGGTGTGTCCTTCTGTGGGGCTCTTCCTGAGGAAGCTTTCACATTGACCCAATGCAAGTAGCAGTGTCAGGGAAGCGACTCTCAACTGCCAAGGGAGATAGCTCCGTCTCCAAGGCCAAGGAAGGGGTCAGCCCTTTGTCAGGACAGGGAAGGGAAGAGTCACAAATGTGGATTTGAGAGAGGAAGAAGAGTCATGGCGGTCGGACATTGCCCCTGACCATTGGTCATGCTGGCTGCAGCATTCTCTGCTGGGCACCAGCTTGGCCTGGTCTGGTCTAGGCTTTAAACACATAGGACCATAGAATTGCTGAGTTGGAAGGGACCCCAAGGGTCATCCAGCCCAACCCCCTGCAACGGGAAGTGCAGGAACGTCAGCCTTTGAAGAAGGCACCACCACCATCCCAGCAGCAAAATGGCCTCAGTACACCAGGCAGCAGTTCAACAGGTGGGTGGAGAGGCCCGTGGGGTCATTTTTGCCCCTGCTGCCTACTGGGAGGTGGGGGGGGCACATGGATGAGACTGCCCATTGAGCTTCCATCCTGACAAAGCCTCATCCATCCTTTCCTGGTGCCCAAAGGCACCACATGGTTACGAAGAGTAGGGCTGGGCAACATGTCGATATATCGTCCAAAACCGGTTTGAAGTCCATATTGTGATCTTGGTCTCATGGTTTTTGACCGGGCCATGTATCGCGGATCACGATATGGGTGTGTGCGCGATGCAAAAATCACAATGCTTCTCTCGATTCCTGCAGCCTCTGTTAACTCTCCCCTGCCTCCTGCCCCACAAGAGGCTCCTTCGTTTGAGCCTAGCTTTGACAGCTCCTTCATGCGCAGCTACTGCTTCCACTCCCAGGTCAGGTCTGGGGGGGGGGGCGAAGAGAAGGAGGAGAGGAACAGCTCTGGAAGGTGGTTTAGGTCCAAGAAGCTGTTAACTAGCCTGCAATCTTTTCTGACAGGAGTGCCAGAAAAATGATTGCTGCCAAGAGGATTGCAGGTGGAAACCAAACGCAGTGTGTACTCACGGACTCTGCTGTGACAACTGCAAGGTAAGATCGCCACAGCAGCTGCCATTGGCCTCTGGTTTGGTGCTTAAAATCCTTACTCTCTGGGTCTGTCGAACCTCCAGCAAACGCCTTGGTGACATCCTTGTGCAGATAGTTATCTTAACCTCACGATGCCTTTCGCTGCTTATTTGCACTAGATAATGCACGTGGTCTCTTCGGGTCTAATTTCTTCTCCATCTTGAGTTGGGGAAGGCCGAACAAACGCTAAATTATCTGCATATATGCCTTTCTTATTTAGCGCCCCTCAATACTTACCCATCCTCATTTTATTTTATGAGTACATCCACTGCAGCACCATTTTACAGACAAAATGCGCTCATCGTAGGCAATATAATTTTTAAGAGCCTTGTTTTTTGACAGTTTGCAAGTCCAACACTGTCAGCCAGGAAGGAACTTGCTGAGCTAGAGAACCCAGGTTTGCATAGATCTGTTTGTATATCCCACACTGATACACTTTCCTCTTATTTGCATGATTATCTGTATTTATTTGCAAAGTTGGGCTCTGGCAGATTGAGCGGACTAGAGTGGGTCCAACGGCCAAGAAGGCAGTTTCTGCACGAGATGAAGAGGGAATACATGGGCAGATGGGGCTCGTCCACCTGGGAAGGGAGGCTAAGAAGGAAAACTCTGATCCTAAACCTCCGCTGCCTTGCGGGACATCGTCAGAAGAAGAAAAGCCTAAGGAACAAGCCCTACACAAATCCAGAATGATACGATACGATACGATACGATACAATAATCTTTATTGTCATTGTCCCATACAGAACAACAAAATTGAAAAAATCTACATCAGACATTCAAAAACCCACAAGCCTGCTATCCCAGCCTGGTTAGCCCCCTAAAAACTCTGATACTCCATAATTAAATACAATATACTCCCATAGAGACCACCTTACACTGCGTTTAAAACCAAAATCACATTTGGGTAGAAATTGTTTCTCAAGCGGCTAGTCCTAGTCTTTATAACCCTGGACCTTCTTCCAGAAGGCAGAAGCTGAAAGAGATCATTTCCGGGGTGCGCACTATCCTGCGCTATCTCTGCAGCTTTCTTACGGCACCTGGAAGCATTGATTTGATCCAAGGTGGGAAGAGTGCACCCAATTATTCTCTCCACAGTCTTTACAACCATGGATAGCATTGGTTTTTCCCTGGCCGTGCAGCTCCCAAACCACACACACAGACCATAAGTTAATACACTCTCCACAATACAGTGGTAAAATGCCACCAACAGGTCCTTTGAGAGTCCCTAAGACAGCTGGATGGCACCTTGTACGCCTCCTTCCAGCAACTCCTGCACCAGGATGGTGCCCAACGTCTTGCTCTGCTTTCCTTTCGACCCCATCAGTGAGGACGAGGGGTGGGGGGTCTTGTCGTCTGGGCAGCCCAGGACCTCCAGACACACAGCCCAGGCAGCAAAAACAAAGCGGGAGGCCGCAGCTACAAGTTACTGGCCTCTGCGGCCACAGCAGACGCTGTGATTCCCCAGCAGTTTGGCTTCCCCTCCAGAGGCGCACTCCATGTCTCTCAAGGTAGACAGATGCCAGGAACATTTTATTCCACGTCTTGTCTGTTATGTGCATATTTCCATGTGGTGTTAAAAAAGCCAGAGCTTGTTGTATGTAGGCAGTCAATAATTTGAACAGTAATAGCAATAATAATAATAATAATAATAATAATAATAATAATAATAAATGTTTCTGCATCCTCTGAGAAAGCAGCCACATTGTGGGGTTTGGTTCTTGTTTCCAACAGATTGTCACCGAAGGGAAAGAATGCAGGGAAGCGGCTTCTGAATGTGATTTCCCCGAATACTGCAATGGGGTTTCCTCCAAATGCCCCCCGGATGTGTACAAGCAAAACGGGATGCCGTGCGGCACCAATGACATCTGCTATTCGGGGAAATGCTTCAATGCTCACCAGCAGTGTGAAGAAATCTTTGGCAAAGGCAAGGCTCACATGATTTAATACAAAATAGCTAGCAGCTTTGTGTCACCCTGTATAGAGTGTCCCTAAATGTGCCTTTTCGGTTTCTCAGTTTTCCAGTCTTCGGGTCTCCACATTTCCACTTCAGCTTGTGAAGAATTATTATTATTATTATTATTATTATTATTATTATTATTATTATTTCCAGGTCCTCGTGAAACTTAATCAGCATTTCAGAGCTACTTTCTTCTAATATACATTTTTGCAAAGTAATTTCCCTTAGTATAATGCAGTTTTGCATATTTTGGCTAATTTTTATGCACACTTTGCCAGAGCATATGCATTTTCTCCTCCTTGGTGGGAAAAGTGCACTGCAACCTCCAGAGAGGTGTGAGTTTTGATGGATGGTTGTGTTTCAGTTTGCTCTCTTTTCAGAAAGTGTGATTTGGGTAGGTTCACATTTAAGGGCAAACTGGACTTTAAGGAACTTCTACCCCATCTCCACCTCTGTGATCAGGAATTTGTGAGTCTTCTCCTAGGAGGGACAAATGCTATATCAATAAGGTTCCCTCTGGCAACCTCACACTGAATTTCTTGCTCGCGAATCTTTCCCTCTCATGCACAAATCAACAAATACTGAAACTGCCTGGGACCAGCCTTCGTGCTTACCAGCTCCTTCAGCCACTGGCTGAGCTGCTGCGATGACACAGATTGTACACATACTATTCTAGCTGCATGGAGGAAACTGCCGCAGTAGAACTTTCAGCTAACTTGGCTATGCTTTTGGGAGGACCTTTGGGGTTTCTTAAATTGTTATGGATGGGAGAGAGACATTCCACCCAAGTCCTTAAAGGAATCTGGTTGTAACTTACCCAAATCATGCAAGTGGTATAGAACCCATATGCACCTCTGATGCACATGATGACCAATACTCTTCCATGGTAAAAAGGTAAAGGTAAAGGGACCCTGACCATTAGGTCCAGTCGCGGACGACTCTGGGGTTGCGGCGCTTATCTCGCTTTATTGGCCGAGGGAGCCGGTTTACAGCTTCCGGGTCCTGTGGCCAGCATGATTAAGCCGCTTCTGGCGAACCAGAGCAGTGCACAGAAATGCCGTTTACCTTCCCGCCAGAGTGGTACCTATTTATATACTTGCACTTTGACGTGCTTTTGAACTGCTAGGTTGGCAGGAGTAGGGACCGAGCAATGGAAGCGCTCCCCGTCACAGGGATTTGAACCACCGACCTTCTGATTAGAAAGCCCTAGGCTCAGTGGTTTAGACCACAGCGCCACCCGCATTGCCATATTTCAGAAGGTGAACGTTGTTGCGCTTTTCCTGCAAAATCTCAAAAGTTCTTGAGCTATTTTTAATGAAATTCACCAAAAAAACCCTACACTTTCCGGCCGGATGCTGTTTGCGAGGTCCAAATATCGGCTATGTCTGGATGTGTGGCAACCCTACGGTGGAGGCTATTGCCCAAGGAGGGTTGTTTGGGACTTCAATCTGATGTTCAGGACGTCAAGCTGCAATTATGTCCCAAATTTCAATATCTTAAGTCTGTTGACTTCGGTGGGTCTGCTTTTGGCTATCACCGTGTACCTGCTAGAGATGTGATGCGAAAGAAAAGAGGCCAACCATTTTAAGAGCTAGCCATTTTAATAAATTCAGATTATTTGGGTGGGGTGGGGGGATGCTTTCCTTGTCTTATTTGTGAACGTACACACACTTTGCTCCTGACAGATGCCCTCTTTCCCCCTCTTTTCTCTGTCTCCTCTCTCTCCCAAATCCAAAGGTGCAAAAAGTGCTCCGCTGAGTTGCTACAAAAAAGTCAACGTGAGAGGAGATCGGATTGGCAACTGCGGCAGGAATAAATTTGGGTACAAGAAATGCAAAGAAGAGTAGGTTCTACCTGGGGGCAGGGGTCCAACCTGATGAGTCCGATGCAAAGGGGGCGATTGATCAGTGGCATAGCATGTGTTGCCAGTGCCCGGGGTGAGACAAGGATTGCGCTCCCTAACCTTCTTGGGGGGCGTCACATGGGAGGCAACAGGTAGACTTTGCTGTGCCCCTGTGGCGGTCGCTTGCCAGTCGCTGTGTTCGCCCTCTCAGCTCGGCAAGCTCCTGGCTGGTTCTGCCACAGCTGTGGCATATATGCATATAGCTTTCATTTTATCAGAGTTTATTTTCTGAAAGATTCTTTTTTAGCTGTTCTTGGTTTTATCTGTTAGCTGCCTGAGTCCCTGTCAGGGAAAAAAGGAGGGGTAAAAACAAATATATACATGAGAACTTTTTTTATCCCCTCTCAGATTTAATACAGTTAGCAAGAAAAAGGCATACTCATACATTCAAGTTATACAGCGTATGAAATAAGGGGTGGAGGAAGTTACTAGGAAGATCGTGCATGGAAAATATTGACTCCAAGTGGCCAGTGGTCTTAAATTAAGGCACGACTCCTCTAGGAAGTTTACTAGAGAAATCTAACTGTAGCTGCTTATTGTTTTTTGGAATTTCATGTTTTTACTCAGTTTTAGGACCCAGATTCTTGGCAACAGATATATCCATCTTAAGGGGACTGGATTTTTTCCACTTAAACCATGAAGATGGAACCATTCTGAAAATAAGTCATTAACCTTTAAAAACACATCATCGTCATCGACCCTTTCCTTAGGATGACCTTGAAAGTTCAGGGTCCATTTCTCCTGGTACAGAGCCACTGCTGTCCCTGAAGAGCTGATAAAAGTTCCTCATGCAGAATATCTAAATTAGTGGTTCTTATTAACCTGAGTAGCACTGAACTAAAAACAAAAGAGGAAAGTAAATGGGTAAAATTGATGGTAACTGCAGCCAGAGAGGTTATAGCGAGTAATTGGGAAAATGCAGAAGAGCTAGGGTTGAACCAATGGAGGAAAAAATGGAATAATATTATAATTTTAGAATATCTGTCAGAGCTGGCTCCAGGTCCCAGCTCACAGAGGACCAACGCTAGCCGGCAGTAATGTACAAAAGTCTTTATTGAAGTACAGTTTCCATTTTCAAGCCGCAGCGCCCCAGCTCTACGTCTAGGGGTTAGATCGGCGAAGCTCCATCTGAGTCTCCGCCCCGTTTACACCAGTTTAAGATTCTAGCCTTACTCCACCTCTTACGTCTCTCCTTTCTCCTCTGGGTCCTGCTACCCCCGGGTCCCTTCCTTCCTGGATTCTTCTGACGCTGACCCCCTGACTCCTCCCCTCTTTTCGGCGGGCTTTGGGACCTGGCTCCCTATCCGGGCTGCCAACTGCGCCGCCCTCCTGTACATTTGAACTTTGCGCGCGCGCCCAGCCTTCAACCTTCCTCTCGACCGTTTCCTCGCTCCCCGATGGAGGCGTGGCCAATCCTGACTCATGTCCTCCCACTGGCAGTGCGCCGCCTGATCCCGATGCCTGGGACCCCTCCCCCCTACTGCACTCTGGTGTGGACGCTGGTCCTGATTTCCAACTGCTGCTCTCTGAGTCCCCTCTGGCCCCTTCTTCCTGGGGTGTCCCCATCGGCACACCCCTTGCTCTGACCAAGGGAGCCCCTTTCTGTGAATCTTCCGATTCGCTGGAAAGACTCAGAGACCTCGGACCGCTGTCATCGCTAACATTTCCTTCGGACTCCTCCCCCTCGCTCTCTATTTCCTCCCTTTCCTGTGCCTCTGCTCCTGAACCCCTGACAATATCTAACTGTGAAGATACATAAAATGAAAGGGTTTAAGGTCAGTGAGAAAGAGGAGGATTGGTTCGAGAAGATATTGAATTATTTGGGTAGATTTGAACAATTAGGGGCAATTAAAATGTTAAAAGTTAAATAAACCTTGTGGAGGGAGGAGTGTTAATGTATATAGAATTGTACATATGGTTGATTTGAATATGTTATTATTGATTATGTATACCCAATGTATCAGCCGCCTGGGGGGGTTCACTGTTTGTGTTTTGCCCTTAGTGAGATTAACAAGCCAGGTTGAATTTGGCGACAAGGCATCCCGGGACGGTCACTCTGAGTGGAGAAGGAGCTGTATGTACTCTCTCGTTCCCTTCTCACTTTTCATTGCAGAGATGTCCTTTGCGGAAGGATCCAGTGCATCAACATCAACAAAATCCCAAGATTTGCAGCCGAACAATCTGTAGTTCAGACTCCCACGGACAATCTCTTGTGTTGGGGCATAGTTTCCCACAAAGGGGATGACATGCATGACGCTGGAGCGATAGCAGACGGATCAGTGTGTGGGGACAACAAGGTGACGTCGGTTACCTCTGAGCAGGGCTGAAGGGGCAAGTCCTGGAGGGTTTAGGGCATGGGTAGGCAAACTAAGGCCCAGGGGCTGGATCTGGCCCAATTGCCTTCTAAATCTGGCCTGCGGACAGTCCGGGAATCAGCGTGTTTTTACATGAGTAGAATGTGTCCTTTTATTTAAAATGCATGTCTGGGTTATTTGTGGGGCCTGCCTGGTGTTTTTATATGAGTAGAATGTGTGCTTTTATTTAAAATGCATCTCTGGGTTATTTGTGGGGTATAGGAATTTGTTCATATTTTTTTTCCAAAATATAGTCCGGCCCCCCACAAGGTCTGAGGGCCCGTGCTCCGACGTAAATCAGCGACCCGGACTTCAGAAGCCAGGGCACGCTATTAGCCGAGTGTACTGCGCACACAGAATTGGCATGAGGCTTGTGAAGTCATACTTTAACTACAGATTTATTAAACATAAATCAGAACAAAGAAACATGTCGTCTCTCCCTCATGTCGTCTCAGAGAGAACAGCAAAAGCAAAAGCTATACACAAGCGGAAGTTCCCAGCATACTATGCTGGAATGTAAACAGACACACAACAATCTCATGCCTGTTCCTTAAGGTGGAATGGAAATGTCAACACAACCATCTGCCACAGGATGCATCTGCTCAGCAGTTTTCTGGATGTCTGCAAAAGTAGAAGAAATCGGGCTTTCCTGCTGCCCATTAACACATTGATATATCCTTTTTCCTAGATATGCATAAAAAGAGAATGCGTTGACCTGAAAGTTCTGAATTATGATTGCAATTTCACAAGATGTAACAACCAGGGGGTAAGTATCATAGGAGCACAGAATCGTAGAGTTGGAAGGGACCCCAATGCAGGAATCTCAGCTAAAGCATCCATGACAGATGGCCATCTTGTTGTTGTTTAGTCGTTTAGTCGTGTTCGACTCTTCGTGACCCCATGGACCAGAGCACCAGATGGCCATCTAGCCTCCGCTTAAAAACCTCCAAGGAAGGAGAGTCCACAACCTTCGGAGGGAGTCCGTTCCAAATAAGCTGACTTTCCAGAGTTGGATGATGGCATTTGTGAGTTGCCTTCCAAACCGGCGATTCTTTACCCAAGGCAATGGGTGGCATTCAAAGAGAAGCATGACCCAAACAAAAAAAAATCCCTGAACAGTTTGGGGGCAGGGGACATATAGAATCAAAGAATTGGAAGGGACCCCCCAGGGTTATCTACTCTGCCCCCGGCAAGGCAGGAATCTCAAGGGGATTCCCTCTTACAACGCACATGAAACAGAAGTTACATGTAGAAATATCTAGTTCTTTTTTGCTGCCGAAATGCAAAGATACAAAGAAGGCTATAACGTCTTGAGAAGCGGCAGGCTAAAAGTTGAAGGCTCATGCTTACAGGAAATAAAGCGCCCATACCATATGTTTGGTATCATAGCAGATGATTGCATTATATATAAGTAAAATCGCAGTAGCAGTGTTGTGTTTTGACCTTCCTCCTCCTCCAACAAGCATTTTACGCAGCGGTCTTTCCCAGCCTGCTTCTGTGGAATTGCTTTTCGATGTTTTCATCGTTTCCTTGTTTTTGTGCGCTTGGTGCCATGGGCCTCTTTGGGAGGAAGGATGTGGCATAAAAGTAATAACAAAGTGTTTTTTTAAAACAACAGGGGAAAATAGGCATATGTGAATACGTTATACAATTTTTAAATGTAACGTATTGCGTTGGGATACAGAATTTCACAAACAGCAGTGAAGTGGATTATAGAATCATAGAATTGTGGAACTGGAAGGCACCCAGAGGGTAATCTTGTCCAACCCCCTGCAATGCAGGAATGATGCTCACAGCTGTCCCTGGGTGGGCTCAAACCACCAACCTAATAATAATAATAATAATAATAATTTACTTATACTCCGCCCAACTGGCTGGGTTTCCCCAGCCCCTCTGGGCAGCTTCCAACAGAATATTAAAATACAATAAATCATCAAACATTAAAAGCTTCCCTAATCAGGGCTGCCTTCAGATGTCTTCTAAAAGTCAGACAGCTGTTTATTTCCTTGACATCTGATGGGATGGTGTTCCACAGGGTGGACACCACCACTGACAAGGCCCTCTGCCTGGCTGTAACCTCACTTCTCGCAGTGAGGGAACTGCCAGAAGGCCCTCAGAGCTGGACCTCAGTGTCCAGGCAGAACGATGGGGGTGGAGATGCTCCTTCAGGTATACTGGACCGATGCCGTTTAGGGCTTTCAAGGTCAGCCCCAAGACTTAGAATTGTACTCGGAAACATACTGGGAGCCAGTGTAGGTCTTTCAAGGCCAGTGTTTGTGGTCTCGGCGGCCGCTCCCAGTCACCAGTCTGGCTGCCGCATTCTGGATTAATGGCTGTTTCCGAATCACCTTCAAAGGTAGCCCCACAGAGAGCGCATGGCAGTAGTCCAAGCGGGAGATAACCAGAGCATGCACCACTCTGGCAAGACAGTCCGCGGGCAGGGAGGGTCTCATCCTGCCTACCAGATGGAGCTGATAAACAGCTGCCCTGGACACAGAACTGACCTGCACCTCCATGGACAGCTGTGAGTCCAGAATGACTCCCAGGCTGCGCACCTGGTCCTTCAGGGGCACAGTTACCCCATTCAGGACCAGGGAGTCCTCGGTCAACAGCCAGACACTCTGTCCCATTGTACCACCTGAGATAGGATGCTGTGGAAGGTCTGTAGCCAAGTGGCAGAGCAGCTGCTTTGCAAGCAGAAGGTCCTGGGTTCCAATTCTCCAACGGCAAACCCAGGTAGAGCTGGGGAAGAGGCCCCCTGCCTGAAACCCCAGTGATCCCCATCGCTGTGGTAATACTGAGCTACCCAGCAGTCTGACTCGGGAGAAGGCAGCCTCCTGCGTCGGAGCTGTAGAACATGGAAAAGATCTTGGAAATAAATCCTTTGTTTGCTGCTCAAATGCCTGATGTATTTCAGTTCTGCAACAGCAACAAGAACTGCCACTGCAGTTACGGATGGGCCCCTCCCTATTGTGCTGGCAAGGGATTTGGAGGAAGCTTGGACAGTGGTCCCGCTCCGGAACTATCGAGTGAGTATCTTCTTCCTGTGGTCATCCCCAGGGACTGGCTGCAGCTCTTACGGCAGAGAAGTTCGCACCTGTGCTGTTTGCCTGAACAGTCCAAATAAATCTCTGGACCGCTGACACATCTCGCATCAGATCCATCCTAGATTCCTAAAGGAGTGGTTCCCAAACTTTCTCCAGAAGTTCTCCCTTTCTGCAAACATTGCTGGATCCATTGGTATCTCTTTAGCAAGCTGCAGTTCTCAGAATCAAAGGAAACAGATTCCTCTGATATATATTTTTTGTCTAAAATGCCGATTTGCCTGTGCACTGGAACAACACCCCCTTTTTTGCATTCAATTATATAAATTACATTACAGTTGGTGTCCTGCTGGATGCAACATGTTCCATCCATATTGGGGCTTTTGAAATTCGTTGTCTCCATGAGACGCTCGCAGGTGATACAGTGGGCTCCTCTGCACTTTCGCTTGCCCCCAAGACCCCCCCCAGCTTATTTTATTTGTTAGGCACAAGTGAATTCAGCTTACCGCTGAATCAGAGCAAACGTCAATTGGGTTTTCTCCGGAATGGCATTTGCTGCAACTTAAGTGCTAAAGAGGGCACAGGTGGCGCTGTGGTCCAAACCACTTAGCCTAGGACTTGCCGATCAGAAGGTCGGCGGTTCGAATCCCCATGACAGGATGAGCCGCCGTTGCTCGGTCCCTGCTCCTGCCAACCTAGCAGTTCCAAAGCACGTCAAAGTGCAAGTAGATAAATAGGGACCGCTCTGGCGGGAAGGTAAACGGCGTTTCCTTGCGCTGCTCTGGTTCGCCAGAAGCGGCTTTGTCATGCTGGCCACATAACCCAGAAAAACTGTCTGCGGACAAAAGTCGGCTCCCTCGGCCAGTAAAGCGAGATGAGCGCCACAACCCCAGAGTCGTCCACAACTGGACCTAACTGTCAGGGGTCCCTTTACCTTTACAAGTGCTAAAGAGTGGGTTTTCCTGGAAGAAAGTGGAAGGGAAGAGGGATGAGCCCAGAGTTTGGAAGTACAAGAATGAGATCCAGGATTGCTGATGGCTTAAGTGTGTGTGTGTGTGTGTGTGTGTGTGTGTGTGTGTGTCCTTTAGCACTGAAGTGCAGAAAACTAATTCCCTCTCTTCCTCTTCCTCTCAGACACTAGGAGGGTTGTAATGCTGAGCTCCATGGTTGGGATTGGTGTGCTTTTGCTGGCGACTGTTATAATGTTCAGGAACTCTATACAGACCTGGTAAGAAAAGTCTCCTCCATTCTTCCTCCATGGGATAAAAACATGTCTGCGCCGCCAGTGTTAGAAACTCAGATATATAAGATAGTCGCCAAATGGCGCCTTAAACCTGGGTAATGGTTGCCACAACAAACGTCTAGGTGCCTTTTTTCCAGTGGGTTTTTGTTGTTATTATTGGTATTATTTTCATTTCTGTACTGCCTTATATTTCAAAGAAGAAGAAAAAAGCATAAAGCATCCAATAAAACAATCCAGAAAAAAAGCAAATTCCATCTTCAAGGAAAATATTTCAGATCCTTCTCTAAGTGACACTTTGCTTTTCCCACATTTACTTGCCTACTTAATTTATAGTGCTGCCCCACAGCAGAAGTCCTCTAGGAAGCCAGTGTGGAGTAGTGGTTAGAGTGTGGGGCTAGGATGTGGGAGATCAGGGTTCGAATCCCCACTCCATCATGAAGCTCACTGGAGACCTTGGAGTCAGTCACCAGTCTCTTAAAGAGCTCACAAGGTTGTTGCAGGGATTAACTGATTAACAGTCAGAATGGCCATTCAACTCTTCTTGTTTCGCCACAACAGGTTTGGAAGACTAATCAGTGATAGAATATCTCCGAAACCTATCGATTCTGCTTCGGAAAGTACTGTAAGTTCCTAGAAGGTTCGAGAGCAGAAGGTCTTCTCGCTGGGCTTTCCATTTTCTTTTCTTTTCTTTTTTAAAAAAAAAATATAATGGAAGAGCATCTAAGCACTAGAGCATGGGTAGGCAAACTAAGACCCGGGAGCCGGATCTGGCCCAATTGCCTTTTAAATGCGGCCCGCAGAGGGTCCAGGAATCAGTGTGTTTTTACATGAATAGAATGTGTCCTTTTATTGAAAATGCATCTCTGGGTTATTTGTGGGGCATAGGAATTGGTTCATTCCCCCCAAAAAAAAGTATAGTCTGGCCCCCCACAAGGTCTGAGGGACAGTGGACCAGCCCCCTGCTGAAAAGGTTTGCTGACCCCTGCACTATTACTATTACTATTATTTATTTGTACCCCGCCCATCTGGCTGGGTTTCCCCAGCCATTCTGGGAGGCTTCCAACAAAGATTAAGAATACATTAAAATGTCACACATTAAAACCTTCCCTAAACAGGGCTGCCTTCAGAGGTCTTCTAAATGTCAGGTAGTTGTTTATTTCTTGGACATCTGGTGGAAGGGCGTTTCACAGGGAGGGAGCCACTACCAAGAAGGCCCTCTCCCTGTAGCTTTGCTCCTCGCAGGGAGGGAACCGCCAGAAGGCCCTCGGAGCTGGACCTCACTAGAGCAATACTCTCCTCTCCTGTGGTTTCCAGCAAGTGGTGTTCAGAAGCATAGCTGCCTCCGACTGTGCAGGCAGTGTAGAGCCTCTGTGACTAGGAGCCATTGGTAGCCCTCACCTCCTCCATGAATTTGCCTAATCCTCTTTTAAAACCACACCATGACTGCATGCTGGTTACTGCCATAGCTGTTAAATGGGGGTCACAAATGCCGCCCGGAAAGTGACTAGATAGGATGGCACCCTGTCACTTGCCCGGGCAAATACCTACCCCCTTCCCCCTCCTTGTCATACAGGGCCCACATAAGGCAAAAAATATCCCCCAAATGGGTTTAGCCGTCTTTTTTGCTGTAGGGTGTCCATGTGAACAATGGGACATGGTCACATCCTGTTGCTTCCCAGGGGGCATTCCCAGCCCCATTTTCTCTGGGTGCAGCCAGAGCAAGTGACAATTGCGTTTTTCCAGGTCTCCTGGTATGTAAAATGTTAAAATCTTAATCTTATGATTATTATTAAGCTGCACATTAAATGCAGAAATGGGGTGCAGTGAATTAAGCTATGGGGATACGTGGAAAGGGGATGGAGCGAAGGGCTTGGCCACACTTCCCTTTGCTTTTTCCAGGCACAGTTCACGATTCAAAGCTCTGTGGCCAGGCACCCTTTCTCCCTATAAAAACCAGTGCTTTAAAGCTGAATCGGAGCAAACCTCCATCTGCGGAAAACCCGAATTGCTCCGATTCAGCTTTAAAGAGTGATGTTCCACGAGGGAAGCACAGGGCCAAAATGAAAAACGTATGTGTGAATAAGCCCTTCCAGTGTTTCTCAAACTTGGAGCCCCAGCTGTTGCAGGACTACAACTCCCATCATCCCTGACCACTCGTCCTGCTGACTAGGGGCGATGGGAGTAGTAGTCCAACAGCAGCCGGGGACCCGAGTTTGAGAGACATAGCACCCGTCCATCATTACCCTGGAGGTCAGGTTCCCTGCCCCCCCCTTCCCAGATGACTACATTCAGGCGCATCTGAGCAAACAAAGGCTTAAGAACATAAGAAGCGCCTGCTGGATCAGGGCCAAGGGCCCAACTGGTCCAGCTTCCTGTTCTCACGGCTTGCATCACTTTGCAGGGTCGAATCACTGCAGGTCTGGCATGTGGTTTTCAGTCCCTTCTACAGGTCTGCTGGGGGGGGGCGGGGCGGTCTGTACCCCATAAATCTAGTTAAAACTACATCGGAGCTGAAGGATTACCTAGCCTATACTAGGGGCGAAATGGGGAGTTGTGGGGTGTGACATCACACACGGGGTGTGGGGGGAACGCGGTTTGATTTTCATGCCCGCTTTCCTCATTCCAGGAGCAGCTCAGTGATGAAGAGGAACAGAGCGACTGACACACCATCCCTCTGTAATCTTGCAGAGGACGCTGCCCAGGTCAGTTCCCAGGAAGGAACCAAGGCGGGAAGGGGGGGAGGGGGCCACGGGGACTTCTGCGTATCCCGCAAATCGTGGCTTGCATCGAAAGGTCAGGCAAATTTCAGGGCCTCGTAAGGGAAAGGGAAAGGACCCCTGGATGGTTAAGTCCAGTCAAAGGCGACTACAGTGGTACCTCGGGTTAAAAACTTAATTCGTTCTGGAGGTCCATTCTTAACTTGAAACTGTTCTTAACCTCAGGTACCACTTTAGCTAATGGGGCCTCTCACGGCCGCCACCGTGCAATTTCTGTTCTTATCCTGAAGCAAAGTTCTTAACCCGAGGTACTACTTCCGTCTGTAACCTGAAGCGTATATCACCTGAAGCGTCTGTAAGCCGAAGTACCATTGTATGGGGTTGCGGCACTCATCTCGCTTTCAGGCCAAGGGAGCCGGGTCATGTGGCCAGCATGACTAAGCTGCTTCTGGCACAATGGGAAACTGTGACAGAAACCATGCATGGAATCAATGTTTACCTTCCCGCTGGAGTGGTACCTATTTATCTACTCGCACTGGCGTGCTTTCGAACTACTAGGTTGGCAGGAGCAGGGGCAGAGCAAAGGGAGCTCACCCCGTCGCGGGGATTTGAACCGCCGACCTTCCGATCAGCAAGCCCAAGAGGCTCAATGGTTTAGACCACAGCACCACCCAGGGCCTCGTATACATCTCTCCCCATCCCTGTCCATAACCCCTTCACTTGCCAGTCCCTTGCAGGCCCCATGAGAAAGGTTAAAAGGTTCTCTGTCCTGCAAATTATCCAGGGTGCTTCTCTTCAAGGAGAGACACGCTGCGGTAGTTTTGCAAGCTCCTCCTGAGTTCTCCAGAACTCTCGATTGGGCAAGATGTTGCACAAAGCCAGGGGTGCAGGGGGGGTGTCTGTGCGTGTAAAAAAACCTGGATGATGTAGCCAGGTGGGCTTGTAGACTCAGCTCCAAAGTGGAGACTGCAAGCTAAGCCCCTCTCAGGCACTGAGATTATCAGGTTGCACGCCTGGGATTCTGGGATAAAAGAACCCTCCACCTTCAAGTGTCTGGCTTGTAACCCAGAACTGTCTCAAACTGTAAAGGAAACTCAGAGCTTCCCATGGCAGGCAAAGAGCAGATTTAAAGAGAAACACGGCAGTCTTTAACTCAGCAAAACCAGGGGTTGATTTTGTAGGCAGAACTAGGCAAAGAGAGTCAATGTAAGCCAAACTGTAAAGTATTATCTATTGTTGGAAGGGATGCAACACTTAAAAAAACAAATTGCAAAGTCCATCTTTCTGTGGTTGTCAACAAAGAACCGGCCGGCAGAGAATTTGCTGGCATCTGTCCATCTTGGGAGACAGTGGAGAAGTGCTCCTTTGGGGGTGAAGGCAAACTGTTGGACACCTGCAGCACCTGCTGTGGCTGTAGAGAGAGATGTTTTGTTGCAGCTGGGGCAGAGGAAGGAGTCCGGTTGTGCTGTTGCAGATGCACCCGGGCGTTTCTCCTCTCGGCTCTCCTCCCAGAGGTCATTCCTCCTCTGGTCACTGCTAGAGATGCACAACCTGACTGGCTGTCTCCAGGCACTGCGGTCGTTCGCAAGGGATTCCCACACGGCGGGGACAGTGTTGCCACCCTTCGTGTAACGTCTGCAGACATCTTTGCAAACAAAGATGCGCTCCCAAAAGCCCACATTCCCAGCACTTCTGTTTCTGTGACTGCTACACTGGCTTGCTCACGTCCACAAAATGGAAGACAGCAGGATACCCAAGGATGTGCTATGCACCTGGCTTCGGGTACCAGGCCCATGGGCAGGCTAAGTATGTCTGCAAATGAGACATGAATATTGCCAACAAGGGTTAGGTAAAGGTAAAGGGACCCCTGACCATTAGGTCCAGTCGTGGCCACCTCTGGGGATGCGGCGCTCATCTCGCTTTATTGGCCGAGGGAGCCGGCGTACAACTTCAGGGTCATGTGGCCAGCATGACTAAGCTGCTTCTGGCGAACCAGAGCAGCGCACGGAAATGCTGTTTACCTACCCGCCGGAGTGGTACCTATTTATCTACTTGCACTTTGACGTGCTTTCGAACTGCTAGGTTGGCAGGAGCAGGGACCGAGCAACTGGAGCTCACCCCATGGCGGGGATTCGAACCGCCGACCTTCTGATCGGCAAGCCCTAGGCTCTGTGGTTTAACCCACTGCGCCACCCGCGTCCCCAACAAGAGTTAGATATGCCTTGTTGTTGTTGTTGTTGTTGTTGTTGTAAAGAACTCGGAACTCCCCTATGACAGAAAGCCACCTAGTCCAGGATAACCCCTCCTTTCTCATCTTTTAGGGGTCAATGGAGAGCCAACAATCAACCGAGGGCATGTTGCTCTGCTGCGGACTTGAGTCTGGCTAACTCGTGCAGCAGAAGACATTTCTCATACCTGAAGATGGCGGGGGAGCTTGTGGTGGAGAAAGCAGGGCACTCCCTCTGCCTGCTGCTTCCCGACTGCTTACCCAGCATCCTCTTCCGCTACTGAATCTCTTGTTTCTTTGCCCAATCTCATCATTTGCCTTTGAACAAAGTGTTCCGTCTTCCAATGCTGTATATATTTGTCACTGGTCTGCTCCAGGCACAAATCGACACTTCAGTTCTGAGAAATAAATCACACATCAACCTCACTCGAGTGCCCCACATGTCTGTTTTCTTCTAACGTTAAATTTAACTTTCCTCTTTGGATATTTTGGCTTCTCGCTATGGTCTAATATCACTCCAAAGTGGCCTTCTTCAGCATGGAGGCTGGGACAACAACAAGGTCCTTTCGCAACACTCCTCCCCAGAGCTTAAGTCTGGCTCCTCGGTCTACCGACCCACATCTGCCCCACAAGCTGCCCAGTAGGGTTGCAACTTTTAACAACCTCGTGTTCCTGTAGCTTAGCTAGATGAACTTTTGCCTAAAAAACAAAGGAATGAACTGTCATTTCCAAATCTCTTGGAAAAAGCTCACTTCGAAATCAATCGGTGTTTGTATATGTAACTGTACAACGTGTTGTGTAATATGCAGAGCGCGTCTTATAATACAGGAAAAATAGAGCTGGCAAATTCTCTAATACTCGCACAATGTTTTGTACATTGTTGCTTAGAATAAACCGAGGTTGCAGTTGGCCTTTGCTTCTGCTGCAATAAAATTTGCTTTGATTGTGTGATGCACACTGATTACTTCCTGCGATCTGGATGGATGGATCCGGCAAGTTCCAGACAGATGTAAAAGTTCTAAACAGATTCATTAAGGTGTTTTTTTACAGTGCTTATACTTATGAGTAGTAATGTTACCTATATGGTGATTCCAACTTTTCATTTTGGGGTGCCCTTTTTTCACAACTGAGAGGAATCAGTCCCCTTTTAAGCATAAGTTTATCCCTTTATGATACAGGAAATCATCTTTTTTTGGGGGGGGGGTCAAAAGGTTCTAACCCCACTGCTCAAAGGTCACTCTTTGTTTTCCCAGGCCCTGAGAATTGCCAGGAAAGTGAACTGGTTCTAGGCTTCTGCCTGAGTCCTGGACAAAAAGACCACCTGCCCCAACCCTACGCTGGAAGGCAGGACCAAATAGATGTGTGTCATTTATTTCAAATGGTGTCTTTAAAGCCCCAAACAGCTTAGGAGCTGAGGACCCTGCAGCCCACCTTATTTCTTTTTTTTTTTAAAGTAATTTTTATTAAAGTTTTAAACAACAAAGAAGTAAAAGAAAAACATACACAATACATCTAACAAAAACACACAGAACAAAAAAACAAAAGCAAAATTCAACAATAAAAATACAAGAAACATAACAATTTAAAAAACAATATCTCTGTTTCATTTCCGATTTTTAGTTGCTTATTTTCTGGACTTCCTCATACCTCCCTCTTTTGTATTCCAATCCAAATTATTTGTCCAGCAGTTTCTTTTCCACTTTTTTAATCCCAATCTTTAATTTAATTAGATATTGAAATATGTAACTTCAACTTCTTTAAACCTAATCCTTGGTCTTAATATCATATACCATTAAAATTTTCCCTCTTAATATCAAATTTCCATTTCTTTAAACATCTTTAATCTTAATCTTAAACTTTAATCTTAGTCTATCATTAACTTTAAACAGCCCACCTTATTTCATCTGTTTTTCTCTGCTTGCTCCATCCAGTATCTGAGGCCTGGCTCCAGGTGAGAGGGACGGCAGGCAATGTTAAGCAACAGGGTCTTCTCGGTGATGGCGCCTGCCTTGTGCAATGCCCTTCCGCATGAAACCCATTGCCAGGCATTTGGTTGTTTAAGAAAGACCTCTAGAGGAGTGTTTTCTGCTCCTTTGTCTGTTTTCGCTCTCCCTCTCTTTCTAAATCGCTGCTTTATGAACTGCTGTTTCCGTTTGCTTAATTGATTTCTGGGCTTGCTACGTTAACCAAGGTTTCACACCATTACTTTTTATGTACCGCAGACATTTTATATATTATTTCGTCGTTTTACTGCTTCAGACGGATTTGAAAAATAGGCAGGGTATACATTCAGATCACGGTGGTGCAAAGCCTACGAAGAGACAAACCCTGCTCCCAAGCGCCACTTGAAGCAGAACCCAAGGAAAGAATCATAGAATTGGGAGGGATCCTGAGGGTCATCTAGCCCAACCCGCTGCAATGCAGGATTATTATTTTTTTGCCCAATGTGCTCGAACCCATGACCTTGAGATCAAGAGTCTCATGCTTTGCCAACTGAGCTATGCCACAGAAGAGGAAGAAGAAAGCTGGTTTAGCTGGTACATGAGTGCATCTTTGCCCTTTCCCCCATGCACAAAGAACCATTGAATTGTAGAGCTGGAAGGGACCCTGACGGTCATCTAGACCAACCCCCTGCGTTGCACCTGCTCCTTCTTTCTCCATATTCATTCTAAATGCTGGCAAGTGGCTGCAATGGCGGGGAGAAAAAGGGCACGGGGGCAGGTGAGGAGAGATACTGGGTCAGGAAAGGACTGCAGACACTTTGGGACAGTCCCCCATGTGCATTTGGAGGGGGCACCAGGTTGGCAAACAACTGAGTCACATCAGTTCTGCCCCTCTTAACGTCTCCGACGCTAAGAAGGTCCGTACAGTTAAAGCTCTGGTTTTCCCAGTAGTGATGTATGGAAGTGAGAGCTGGACCATAAAGAAGGCTGATCGCCGAAGAATGGATGCTTTTGAATTATGGTGCTGGAGGAGACTCTTGAGAGTCCCATGGACTGCAAGAAGATCAAACCTCTCCATTCTGAAGGAAATCAGCCCTGAGTGCTCACTGGAAGGACAGATCCTGAAGCTGAGGCTCCAGTACTTTGGCCACCTCATGAGAAGAGAAGACTCCCTGGAAAAGACCCTGATGTTGGGAAAGATGGAGGGCACAAGGAGAAGGGGACAACAGAGGACGAGATGGTGGGACAGTGTTCTCGAAGCTACCAGCATGAGTTTGACCAAACTACGGGAGGCAGTGGAAGACAGGAGTGCCTGGCGTGCTCTGGTCCAGGGGGTCACGAAGAGTCGGACACGACTAAACAACAACGTCACCCATGGTGGGCACCATCACTTGGCACTTTCCCTTTGTTAACGGAGAAATCTGAGGGCTCCCTTGGACAAAAAACAAGGACACCAGCCAGGAATACCAGAGCAAAACAACAACCAGTTGGCTTGGTCTTTATTGAAGACTGTCGCGACAGGACTCCCACCTGCCGCAAGGTGGAACAAGACGGAAGCCCAGAACAAAAGAGCCCCCAAACTTTTATTAGCTGCTCATCCCCATGTTACACCCCCCCAAACTACCTCACTCATACATCACAGTTACATCATGAAAGGGGAGGTCTGGTGGCAGTAATCTGAGCATCCTGGACCCTGCCCCATGCTTCCCCTTGCCCTCCACCAAACACCCATCAAGTGTCACAAAAGAGATATTTAGGGTACATTTCCCTGTTTCCCAGCCAAGTTAATCACACCCCTTTATCTTCATCTGGGTTTGTTATTTCTGGAATGGCTACCTGTCTGGCACTCAGGTATCAGGATGCCAGGAATTATCACTCAGGCAGAGGGGCTGCTGAGTAGCTGAGCTCACATGTCTATATGAATTTCTGAAGTTTTCCCAGTGAGCCAGTACAGAGATGCATTGATCAGTGAATTCTTACATTTGGTATTCTGCAGCAGAGGCCCTTTGAATAGATAGGAAGAAACTGTGATTAAGAGTTTTGTGGGGACAAATCACAAAAGTGATTGTGCTGGTTTTGGTAGTGGGCTGCATGTGCATGAGATCTGCTGGAGGGGCAACCCCCCCAACCTATACATAAATTCCTGCAACACCTTGAACCCAGGACCCCGAGAAAAGCCTTGTTGGGTCACGCCAAAGGCCCACCCAGCCCACCGAGAGCCAGTGTGGAGCAGCGGTTCTGGGAAAGACCCGGGTTCGAATCCCCCCAGGAGGCGAGACCTGGGGGTCCAGTCGCCGCCTCTCTGCCTCGCCTACCTTGCAGCAGGCCGGGAGGGGAGGGGCTTTCTCCGAGCGAGGCCCCGCCCACCCCGCGCGCCCGGCGATTGGAGGGAAGCGGGCGGACACGTGGAGGAGGCCGGTTCACGTGACGGGGCGCTCTCACGTGACGGGCCGCCCTGGCTCCGCGCCGATTGCAAGCTTTGGGAGGAAAGGAGGATGGAGGGAGAAGGAGAACAGGAAGAAGAGGGAGAGGAGGAGTGGCTGCTGGAGTCCTTGAGACTGTGAGTCAGCGGGGGGGGGAGGGGGGAGAGAAAGGGGAGGGGAGGGGAGATCGGGGAGGAGATGGGGGAGAAAAAGAGGGGAGGGGAGAGAGGCAGGGGAAAGAGAGGAGAGGGAGGGGAGGGGGGAAGATGAGGGAGAAGGAAAGAGAAAGGGAGGGGAGGGAGGAGGGGAGGGGGGAGAAGAAGAGGGGAGAGGGAGGGGGAAGAGGGGAGAGGGAGGGGAGATTGGGAGGGGAGAAGAGGTGGGTCTTGCTTTGGGCTCCCACTTTGCCTCCGTGGCCACTGGGGAGCAAGGGCTGCTCTGCCCCTTTGAGCCATCCCAGTGGTTCAGTGTCCATCCGTCTGTCCATCCATCCATCCATTCATTGCATTTCTCTCCCACTTCTTTTTTCCCGTGTTTCCAGGTACAACGATCTCCACCTGTTTGAGCTTCACGATCCCACCAGAGTCATTGAGTGGACGGGAGAAAAAAGTGAGGTTTTGTTTTCTTTCTCTTTGGCATTTTTTTGCTTCCACTTTTTGTTTTGTTTTCTACGAATTCAGATTCCTAGTAATTTGATCAGTTACCAGCTTCAGGGGTCCTTTACCTTTAGCTTTTACCAGCTGACAGTTCAGCACGATGCCCCATATTTTTCTTGATGCCCCATATTTTTTAAAAAAAACTTAATGTTTTTAAAAGGAACAATGTTGGTCTGATTTCTTTAGGTATTTGTGTGGCGGGGTATGAAAATGGAAGAAGGAATGAAATCCTTCAGCTTCTCCTGCCTCAGAGGCTGTACGCAAAGGAGAACCAGGTAATGTTAATGATCATAGAATCATAGAATCATAGAGTTGGAAGAGACCACAAGGGCCATCGAGTCCAACCCCCTGCCAAGCAGGAAACACCATCAGAGCACTCCTGACATATGGTTGTCAAGCCTCTGCTTAAAGACCTCCAAAGAAGGAGACTCCTCCACACTCCTTGGCAGCAAATTCCACTGTCAAACAGCTCTTACTGTCAGGAAGTTCTTCCTAATGTTTAGGTGGAATCTTCTTTCTTGTAGTTTGGATCCATTGCTCCGTGTCCGCTTCTCTGGAGCAGCAGAAAACAACCTTTCTCCCTCCTCTATGTGACATCCTTTTATATATTTGAACATGGCTATCATATCACCCCTTAACCTCCTCTTCTCCAGGCTAAACATGCCCAGCTCCCTTAGCCGTTCCTCATAAGGCATCGTTTCCAGGCCTTTGACCATTTTGGTTGCCCTCCTCTGGACACGTTCCAGTTTGTCAGTGTCCTTCTTGAACTGTGGTGCCCAGAACTGGACACAGTACTCCAGGTGAGGTCTGACCAGAGCAGAATACAGTGGCACTATTACTTCCCTTGATCTAGATGCTATACTCCTATACTCCTATGATAATACTTTGGAGATTCCCCTCCCCATTTGGGCCCACACCCCAACTTCAGAAGAGATAGATGTTTGTGCAAATGTTCTCCTGGGTCTCTTTTCTGCTGAGGCCCAGGCATGGATCCTGAGCTGCAGGATGGTTTTCGGGTGGAACCCTTAATTTATTTATTTTTAAACAGGGCTTATGTCCAGAAAGAGATTTCAAGGTTGAACATGGTGGATTTTCCGATCACCCGGTGTACATGCTGAAGCATGTGCCAAAGACCAGGTCAGTGGTGCTAAAAGGACTTGGCCTCTCGGTTGCTGGTTAATATATAAATTTTATTAAGGTTTATAGAGAAAAATACAGAACTTAATATCCTTTCCTTTTCTTAAAGGAATATTATCTAGATACAATAAAAACACAAAATGCCAGGGGGTGGGGTTAGAAATAAAGAGAACAAAAATAGGTTAAAAGAGAAAGAAAAATAAGATTAAGAAAATCCTTATTTTCTGATTGCTGGTTATCTAGATGTGCAAAGCCTGCCTAGAGCATTCGGTACAGAAGTGGTACCTAAATTACTGTATTTTTCCGTGTATAACACGCCCCCATGTATAAGACTCAAAATAGAGAAAATGCGGGGGAGGGGAGAGATTGCACAGAGTTGTTGAGCTTTCTGTGGGAGAGATTGCTAGAGTTGTTGACCTTTTTTTTTGGGGGGGGGAGTTGCCAAAAATCCCTCTCCCGCAGGACCGCAACAGCCAATCACACACACATCAGCAAAGCCACCAATCATCTGCACGCTCGCAAAACGTAATCGCCAATCACCCACCCAATTGCCACAGTAGCCAATAACCAGCGGACCTATTTTGCCCCTACCTCCTACCCCAGGAAGTTCCCAAAGCTGAGCTAATTGTTGGCCAAGGAAAGCCTAATCCCATCACCAGACCTGCCAAGGGGTCCAGACATGCAAAGGAAGTTCTATTGTGCTTTGGGTGGTGGGATGTCAGAGGTGTTTGCCTATGCTCATCTTATACCTGAGTCTTGCCCTGCCATGTCTGCTTATGCTAATCTTGTACCAAGGACTTGTCTGGACATCTTTGCCAAGGTTAAACTAGTGTAACCCCTGTCTACCCCTCCCCTTTGGTGACATGTCAGTGATGTATCCATGATGCTGTACGAACCGTATTCTGGGATATGGTGGGAAAGTTTTAAAAGTCCTTGTCACCCCATCCTCGGGTTTCAAAATTCCTCTTTGAATCTGTTGCGCAATAAACTTTGGTCTACAGCTATTTGCTCCGGTTGGTGGCTGGATTCCTTCTTTTATTCCGCAGGGACCCGTGGGCTCTGCCCAACGAGCTGGGGGACTGAGCAGCCTCGCACCTAGATTTTTCCGTAACATGTATTAAATACTTGTCTTATACACGGAAACATACGGTAGTTCTAGGGTCCTTGCAGTGCAGAGCGGACTGAGCTGACAGCCTTGGGAGCCGGGAGCCTTGATCATCCTGAACTGGAGTTCTCTGTTGACAATATGTCAAAGATGCCTCTTTCTAGGGTTTGTGTGTGAGTGGAAGGCCACCTATGTCCTGCCCCTTTCCCAAGCATTCCTAACTCTTTTTTGCTTGTGGCTGTAGATTGCTGGTGACAAGTGGCCCATCAGACGGCTCCCTGCAGGTGTGGCACGTGGGGCAGGATGAAACAGGTGCGTCAATCAGCAAGTCACTGCTTGATGTATTATTATTTTTATTATTATTTATTACTTAAATTCACCTGTATAGTGCCTTGCATCTGAAGATTGCAGGGCAGTTTCCAGTGCAAAAACCCCTAATTCAAAAGAAAACCTACATAGTTTATTTTCCTTTCACTGCACCGTGAGGCTTGCCACGTGCCCGAAAGGCTGAAACTAATATTTTCTGCTTTATAATTAACATAAGGGGTCTCTGCTGCATGATAATGTCACAAAAGCCAGGCTGCTGGATGAGGCCAAAGGACCATCTAGTCCAGGCCTCCAGCTCTCACAGGGGCCAACCAGATGCCTCTTCTGGGAAACCCACAAGTGGGATCTGAGCACAAGAACAACTCTCCCCTCCTGTGGCTTCGACCAACTCGGATTCAGCAACATTGCTGCCTCTGACTCTGGAGACGGAGCAGAGCCATCCTGACTAGTAGCCTTCAATTGCCCTCTCCTCCATGAATTTGCCTAATCCTCTTTTAAACCCACCCAAGCAGGTGGCCATGACTGCCTCCTGTGGCAGGGAGTTCCACAGTTTAACTCTTGAATAATGGCTTTCTGCTACGCATCCTGAGTTCTCCGACATTCACCGAATGTCCGCGAGGTCGTGTGTTATAAGAGGAGGGAGGCGAGTGTGGCATTCCCAAAGCAAGGAAGGATTGGACTCTGATTAATAAAATACACACGAGGCTTGACCAGCAAGACTCTGGGAGGAGTGCGCATAATAATTCTCTCTCCACCCCTTTTTATTCACAAAAGAACTTTTTACACAGTGTTCGTAAGAACCAGTCAGATTTCCTCTGAGCATTTCAAAAAACCCCACGTGGGACAAAGTCAGATCAGAAGAAATTCTTTTAACTACAAAGAAACTATTTCCTACTTGAGCATGCATCTGTAGTTCAGAGTACAGTGGTACCTCGCAAGACGAATGCCTCGCAAGACGGAAAACTCGCAAAACGAAAGGGTTTTTGGTTTTTTGAGTTGCTTCGCAAGACGATTTTCCCTATGGGCTTGCTTCGCAAGACGGAAACGTCTTGCAAGTTTGTTTCCTTTTTCTTAAAACCGTTAATACAGTTGCGACTTGACTTCGAGGAGCAACTCATAGCACGCGGTGTGGTAGCCTTTGTTGAGGTTTTTGAAGACTTTGGTGATTTTTGAAGCTTTTCCAAAACTTTTCCAACACCGTGCTTCGCAAGACGAAAAAAACCGCAAGACGAAAAAACTCGCGGAACGAATTAATTTCGTCTTGCGAGGCACCACTGTAAATAAAATAGGAAGCAAGGAGGAATGCTTTTAGCAAACTCCAGAGGTCATAAACAGCAGGAAACAGGAGAGGAAGGATGGGTAGTATTTAACTTCTCTTTGTGAACTCTCTTCCTGGCCCTAAGGTTAACAAAACTAACAATAGCTACGTCAAGGAAGCTACCTTCTATCTTTATGACCCAGGATGCCTGATGAAGCAACCGGCAACTGGTCTGTGTATTTAGAATGCTTATACGTGCCTGTCAGGCGTAGAGGAAGCAAATGGCAGAGGTGCGGAGGCTTGTGGGATTCGATCAGAAACTATTGTCAATGAATCAAACCCAGTCATTGCAGACACAATGGCTTGCTCCATATTTCACAATCCCTCATAGTAATCCCACCTGACCCCCACACTCTGGATATTTGCACTCCTACAGGAGAACTTTCCTCCATCCAATTCCTCCAGGTCATAAGATTCTCCAATCCACAATTACATCTCCCTTTCTGCAGCCGTTAAATCGGGATTCCTTAAACGCGCACCGCAAGAGCGGTGAGTTTCCAGTTCGAACCCGACCGTCTTCACTCGGCCTTAACTGGCACTTCTGGGTTCCAGATTCCAGTTTGCTGGTGCTTGTATAGAGACCCCGCCCCAGTATTGATGGACTTCAATTCCCACCTGCCCCAGCCAGCACAGGCAGTGCTCAGGGATTGTGGGGTTGTAGAGAGCGTAGAGACACACACAGCCATATCTTGGGGATAACTGTCTTTTCCCTTCCTCCCCCAGATGTTATTAAGCCCCTCTACACTGTCAATACCACGCAAGGAGAGGAGCACTGCTGGGCAAAGATTGCAACTGCTTTCTCCAAATCGGCGTGGGTCCTTCATGGCCTGCGGGTCAGCGATGTTCAGGTGACCGAGATGGAATCCAGGAGAACCATCTTCGTGGCAGGTAGCCTTCGGTCTTGCGGGATAAAACCCTCAATAATAATAATAATAATAATAATAATATTTTATTATTTATACTCCGCCCATCTGGCTGAGTTTCCCCAGCCACTCTGGGCGGCTCCCAATCGAGTGTTAAAAACAATACAGCATTAAATATTAAGAACTTCCCTAAACAGGGCTGCCTTCAGATGTCTTTTAAAAATAAGATAGCTGCTTATTTCCTTCACATCTGAAGGGAGGGCGTTCCACAGGGCGGGCGCCACTACCGAGAAGGCCCTCTGCCTGGTTCCCTGTAACCTCACTTCTTGCAATGAGGGAACCGCCAGAAGGCCCTCGGAGCTGGACCTCAGTGTCTGGGCTGAACGATGCGGGTGGAGACGCAATAAAAACAAAAAACAAAAATAAAAAGTCCAGTTGTCTTCCAAATTGTAATCTCAATATTTTTGACTTCCCATGGTCTGAATGTTAGGCAAAGCTGTTTGCAATATAGATAAATCGAATTCCACAAATATCAGTCATTTGGAGATCGATCAGCTTTTGGAGATTGCACTCTCCCCTCTCCAGATGACGTTTGACGTGATCGAGAATCCTGGACTCAGGGACAGAGAATCACAAAGCATTAAAACTGAGATGTGGAAAATATGGAAACAGTGAGGAGAGGCAGGGCTGAGATGTGGAGATACGCTTCGGAGATCCAGACCGTGGGGAGCTCCGGAAAATTAATAATTATAATCTGGACTATAATTTGGTCTTTTTTATTTTAGTTTTTTATTTTAATTGGAGTATTATGATTGGATATATTAATTGGATTTTTTTTATTGGAAAATCAATAAAAAAGATTTTTATTTTTTTTAAAAAGAGTCTCCTTAAGATTAAGAGTCCCATGCCCCAGCTACTGATCCAACCCTCAAAAGTTGGCTTCAGGTTACAAGAGATTTCGAATCAACATCAGGAAGAACTTTCTGACGGGAAGAGCCATTCGAGGTGGTGCTCTGTCCTTCTTTGGAGGTTTTAAGCAGAGTTTGGACGACCATCTGTCCTGGGTGCTTTAGCTGAGATTCCTGCATTGTAGGGGGTTGGACTGGATGACCTTTGGGGGTCCCTTCCAAGCCTACAATTCCACAATCCCCTTGTGCTCTTGTTTCCTTCTGTAGGCTCCACAAACACCGATGAGGTTGCCACCCTGGAGTTCCTGGAAGAAGCCGCCGTCCTGGCCTGCGGCATGAAGGGGCAGCTGTTCCTGGCTGACACCAGGCAGCCGCAGGGTCTCCTGCGGGTCGCTGAGGATGCCCACGTCTCTGAGGCGCTGCCTGGGCAGAGCTGGTGTGCTGGAGTTTGCTGCGGCCCCCTGCCATCCTCTGGGGACAGGCGGCTGGTGGCCCGCCTCTCCTCTGCCGGCCGTGTCATGCTGACCGACCTCAGAAACCCCGCGAGACCTGTGAAGATGGCTCAATGCTGTGTGCCCACGGGTGGCCTCTGTGGGGCAGGGTTCCTCTCGGTCTCCTTTGCCCCTCTGCTTGGAGGACACCTGGCCGTCTCAGGTAAGCCTGTGGGGCAGAGATCTCGGTAATTCTTTGGTCCTGTTTGTGCCAGAATTTGGAGGGTGGGGAGAAATTTAGCTGCTAGTGTCATGCTGCCTAGGCTTTAAAAGTAAAGGACTCTTGGACGGTTAAGTCCAGTCAAAGGCAACTCTGGGGTTGTGCTCATCTCGCTTTCAGGCCGAGAGAGCCAGCGTTTGTCCACAGACAGTTTTCTGGGTCATGTGGCCAGCAGGACTACACTGCTACTGCCGCACAGAGGACCATGGCGAGTGCCAGAGCGCACGGAAACACCGTTTACCTTCCCACTGCAGTGGTACCTATTTATCTACTCGCACTGGTGTGCTTTCGAACTGCAAGGTTGGCAGGAGCTGGGACAGAGCAACGGGAGCTCACCCCATCGCAGGGATTTGAACCGCCGACCTTCCAATCGGCAAGCCCAAGAGGCTCAGTGGTTTAGACCACAGTGCCACCGGTGTCCTAGTCTTGGCTCAAGGGCTACAGAAAACCCGAGGGAATGGGGGGGGGGCAAGTCAACCACCTCAGGGGCCCTATCTGGTTGGAGACACAACTTTTGACTTGACAGGGGAGCTTTTGGCAAAACAGCCACCGTTCTCCACTTCTGTAAAATGGGAATCCTATCCAGTGGAGAGGTGCCCTTTGGGCTAGGTTACAGCAGCCTCTTGCCCAGCTGTCAGGCTCTGCAGCAAAACCTCACCTCATTCTCCAGAGCAGCTGCTTCCAAGCTGAGAAACATTTTAAATGTTGTGAGGATCCTATGCCCTTTTAAAATGTGTAGGGAGGGTGGAATTTGGACAACCCTCAGGGTCCTTTCCAATTCTGCAGGTCCACGATCTCTGAGCATGGCTGGAGCAACATTTCTCCCATTGTCGCATGCTCAGGTGAAGCCAGAGGGGCCTGCCCCCCTTCTCCTGTTCAGCCTCCGCATTTGGGGTGCAGTCTCACCTCCAAATACCAGCTGGTAGGTTGTGGTCTGAACCCGAGCCTCTGGGGCTTGCCGATCACAAGGTCGGTGGTTCGAATCCCTGCGACGAAGTGAACTCCCACTGCTCTGTGCCAGCTCCTGCCAACCTAGCAGTTCAAAAGCACGTCAAAGTGCAAGTAGATAAATAGGTACCACTGCGGCGGGAAGGTAAACGGCGTTTCCTTGTGCTCTGGTTTCCATCACGGTGTTCTGTTGCGCCAGAAGTGGTTTAGTCCTGCTGGCCACATGACCCGGAAAGCTGTCTGGACAAACGCCAGCTCCCTCGGCCCGAAATTGAGATGAGTGCTGCAACCCCGTAGTTGCCTTTGACTGGACTTAACCATCCAGGGGTACTTTACCTTTACCAGCAGGTGGGAACCGCAGGCGATGGAGGCGCCCTGCTTGTGAGAGAGCAGGATGCTGCCCTTGCCAGGGCCCTGATACTGTTAGGTACCTTCCATGCTCCTTCCCTCTTCTCCCTCCTCTGTGCTGGGAAGTGCTCACCTCTCCCCTCCCCCCCCCTTGCAGGCTTCGACGGAACTGTGCGGGTCTACGACACACACAACTGGGTCCCGTCCGTGCAGGATGCCAAACCGGCCTTCGTCCACAAAGGGCACATCTTCAGCGGGGCGGGCAAAGCTGGAGTCGCAGCCCCGGTCGTCACAACCCACGCCTGGCACCCCTCCAAGCCCCGGACGTTGCTGTCGGCGGCGGGCGATGGGTCGCTGCACGTGTGGGACTGGTCTGAGCTCTGCGCGGCCAGCTAGCCGAGTTCTCTACACTGCACATTGGAGAAATGAAGCGGTCCAGTTGTACCCCCTGGAAGCAATTGGATATCTTGCAAAGGAAGGGTTTTTTGGGGGGGTTGCATCTTTGTGGAGCTTGCCCTGCGCGGCAGTTCTTCCTAATGATTTGTCTTTTGAGAGAAGGTCCAAACCCAATACCTTCAGTACTCTGTGGCTGCAAACCTCTGCCACTTGTGTCACATAGGAACGCAGGACAGAGTGGGCAAAATGAAGCAAATGAGGCTGGCTACAAAACTGGGGGTCTTTTTATTGTTGCCCCCCAAAAAAAGAGAACCTGATGCCCACACAATGACCTTTTAAGGTACCAGGTTTGTCCTTCTTTTTACAGTTGTTGTACCGGTGTCGTTCTGATTTTATCCTGCGTTACATTTCGGTGTCCTGTTTTATGTTTCTGGTTTTTACTTGTGACCCGCCCGGACAGGTGTGCCAACTTGAATATAATATTGGGGAGGGCAGTAGGTAAGCCCTACTCCCCCTTAATCGATTGCAATGTGTAGCATGCAGCCGCCCCCCCATTTGAATGGCAATACCCAGTAACTTTGGAAGGGCCTGGTCCCCTCAAATATTTTATGGGGGTGCGAAGACCCCTCAGCCCCTAGAAGTTGGCTCCTATGCGCCCAGAGGACGTTTTTTGTCCGGTGGTGGCTCAATATAGGAGTTAAATAAATTGGTGGTGCAGGCATTGTGCAGGGGAGAGAATTAGGCTCTGTAGGTCTCAGCTGCTGACATCAGCAAAGGGGAAAAGCCGTTTGTGGGCTGCCTCCCCTTCTGCTTCTTAAGTATTGCTGCAGTGCATTTGCTCCCCCCCCCCTTTAAAGAGATTGTAGGTACGGTCAAAGTTGTTCAGTAGAAGCCATCTTTGCATTCTGGCTTTCAGGGGTGGCTAAGATCAACGTGAGATTAGTGACCCTCCAGGACGCAAATGGGCTGTTCCGTTCTTCCCCCTTAGGAGCAGAGGAAGAGGGAAAGGGGTCTCAGAGGGTCCTTGCCTGCCCTTAGGACGTCACGTTCAAACAGTTTTATGGGCTGCGTGCAGGATGGTTTTTAAGCTTTGCCCGTTGGGCTTCTGCAAACTACACAGAGCCCTGTAAAATGGGGTGTAGACCCCCTTGTCACTCTTTTTTTCCGAAGACCTCCCTTATCACTAGGTACCCATTTTATGGCTCTATTTGTTCATACAATCCGCACACACAATCCGAAGCAGTGAATAAAACAAAAGACCAACTTATCAGTGAAGCCCTGGCAGTTGGAATGCTGTAATTAAGTTTAACAATAAATGAGTTTTCCTAAGCTGGGAGGTTTTAATTTTCTTCCTGAAGCCTTTTGAATGTGGCACCTTCTAGGGCTACCCCCAAGTGAGTGTTCACCATTAGCAAAACATGCAAAAAGTGTTTTCCCCCCTGTTTTTTGTCATTGAGCCAGGAATAAACCACTCTCTCCGTACCGTCTTTAGAGCAGAGAAAGCTGCCAGACTCAGTGAGGAAGGAGGGTGGAAACTTGATGTTTTTGGCACGCTGGGCAGCCAGTGTGGAGTAGTGGTTAGAGTGCTGGACAAGGACACAGGAGACAGGGGTTCAAATCCCAACACAGCTATTTAGTTCCCTGGGTGAAATTGGGCCAGCCGCTGCCTCTCAGCCTAATCCTACCTCGCAGGGTTGTTACTCTGAGGATTAAATGGGGAGCAGTGTGTACGCCCCCTTGAACTCCTGGGAGGAAAAGGTGGGAGGGATATAAATGCAATAATAACAGCAACAAATTGGACTCTGGAGGGAGGCAATTGATGAGGAGATGTCGCATCGCAACAGACACCACCAACTCAAGATGCCACATCAGGGAAGAAGACGTTTGCTGAGATGGATGTTTGAATTTGTGGCGCTCTGCCATGGAAGCAACGAATAACCATGAAGGGGGAAACAGGAGAACTCAATGGAGGGAATGGGGTGTGGGGCAACAACACTCTGCTCCTATTGTTTCCTGTGATGTGTGTGTACATGTAACCTGCAAGAAGTTTTGTTTTTTTCCAAAACGCTAGTATCATTTTGCTTTCGGAATCTATCCTTCCATGGACTGAGATAAGGGAAGTGTGGACTTTATAGTCAGCCAGGAGCCTTTTAGAAGTTTTGGACTACAAACTCCATCATTCAGCGCTGCCATACTGTGGATGATGGGAATTGTAGTCAAAAATACCTGTAATTTGGTTCAACGGTTTGCAGCTTTTATTTCACCCCGCCGCTTCGCATTACTGTTTTCCATGGGGACTTTTGTCTTTTTTTTCAGCGCTGACACTACACGCAACAAAATATTCGATAGGAAGTTGAGGTGGGGGAGAAACATCTGGAAGACACCAGGCCGGGGGGGGGGGCTGCTTTATTCATACCTGACCAACTACAACAAAAAAGGCATTCCCAGTGTCTGTCGTGGGCATTTCTGGCAAAACAACTCCGGTTCAAGTAAGAGAGACACAAAGGAAGTCAGGGACCCTGCGAGAGCACTTTGTATTTTTCTAAGATTAATAAACTAGAATAATTTATTTGACAAAAACACAGAAAACGTCACGGATACAGTGGAGGAAGCCAAGGTGTTTTCCTACCCCCCCCTTAAAGAACAGTACAAAGGAACCACGTTACAAAACGGACCACCTGGTTTGCTTAGCTAGAGTTTGCAAAGGGCTCCCTTCGCCCGGGATGCCTTCAGCCTTCCTCCCCCTCTCTCCCAGGGAAAGGGGCAGCCGTAACTGTGCTCTGCTTGCCTCTCAAAACCCCCAAATGCACACTTATTAGCAGGGGCCTCCAAGACCCAAAACGGTTCTAGCAAATGTGGAAGCTGCAAAAAGTCAACACAGCAACGTGAAACACAGTCGCGGCTGGGACCGAACACCAAACCTGGGCAGGCGCAGTTGTCGCTGCTGCTGCTTTTGTAGAAAGCTTGGGAAGGGGAACTGTGGAGCCATCTAGTCCAACCCCCTTGCTATGCAGGAATATTTATTGGGGGTATTTAATAGAGTGCTTTTTGCGAGAAGAAAAGAAAGCCACTGGAAAGCGGTTTTGTGAAAACTCCTCCACTTTCTTGAGATGGCCTCTCTTGCCTAAGACTGACCCTAAAGGGAATTCCATTAACCGGCAGCTTGGTTTGATTTCACTCCACACTTCAGTGGCACGATTCTGCCCATCAAACTGTTTCTAAAAGCACAGAAGCAGGAAGGACCTGATTTTTCCCCTCTTGGTCAGAGGGCAACCTCACTAGGTTGTTCACTGGAGGAAGACAGTTTGAGCATACTGCATTCTACATATTACTACGTGTTTTGTGCTTTTCTCTAGTATTTTTTACGTTGCGAACCGCCTTGAGGTCTTCAGATGAAGGGTGGCGTGCAAATTTAATAATGAATAATATACATACTTGGCCAATTGTTTCTACCGATTTCTCATACTCTAATAATAGTAACTACGACTGCAGTGGTAATATCTGTTCTGCGTGCAAAACTGAAATCTAGCCCTTGTAAATGGAACAAGGAGTACATGAAGCTTTTCCAGGTAGCTGATTTCTGCAAGTGTTCGAGGCACGCAGATGCTGCTTTGGTGCAGCTGAGCCAAAACATCTTGGAAGACATTTTTTGCGAAGATCTATTCCACTTTCCCCTTTTCCTCAGCTCCTTGGGGAAAGAAGGCTGCTTTGCAGAACGGTCTCCAAATCTTCCCTAGCATAGCAGGGTTGGGCTAGATGGCTTTTGGGGGGCCCTTCCAACTCTGCAATGCTATGATTCATCCCCTGGAGAAATTCAGGGAACCGGTCCCCAGTCCTCTGCTGACAAATGGCAGCGGAAGAGGCTCTACGTGCCAGATTAGTAAAAGCACATCATTCTTTGGGATAGACAAAAATCTTGCCTGCCATCCTTTCGTTGACAGCAGACCTCCTTCCTGACGCTTCTGGGTCATTTGGAGAAAGCCTTGCTGCTCCCCCTCTTCCTTTTTTTATTTTTTAAAGTATTTTCCAGTACAGTGGTACCTCTGGATATGAACGGGATCTGTTCCGGAGCCCCATTCACATCCTGAAGTAAACGTAAGATGTGTGTGCATGGGTTGCGTTTCGCCGCTTCCGTCGTGTGTGACGTCATTTTGAGCGTCTGCGCATGCGGCGAAACCTGAAAGTAACGCACTCCGTTACTTCCGGGTCGCCACGGAGCGCAACCCGAAAATATTCACCCCGAAGCTACTTCAACCCGAGGTATAACTGTATTCAATACACACAGCATACTTTTCCATCATGCAATATTTACATACTTCCCAACCCAAGACTCCCAAAAGGCATTCTAGAATTGACTTGTTTTGCTGCATATCAAATAATTTATCCACCCTATTTATTCCTCTTTCATGTCTTCGCTCACTGTTGCTCATAAAGTTGCCCTAACTTGAAATTTTGGTGTAGTATCCCCTCACAAGGGGAAGAAATGGAGGCAGTGAGAGATTTTACCTTCTTGGGCTCCATGATCACTGCAGATGGTGACAGCAGTCACGAAATTAAAAGACGCCTGTTTCTTGGGAGAAAAGCGATGACAAACCTAGACAACATCTTAAAAAGCAGAGACATCACCTTGCCAACAAAGGTCCGTATAGTTAAAGCCCTGAGTGCTCACTGGACGGACAGATCCTGAAGCTGAGGCTCCAATACTTTGGCCACCGCAGGAGAAGAGAAGACTCCCTGGAAAAGACCCTGATGTTGGGAAAGATGGAGGGCACAAGAAGAAGGGGATGACAGAGGAGGAGATGGTGGGACAGTGTTCTCGAAGCTACCAACATGAGTTTGACCAAACTGCGGGAGGCAGTGGAAGACAGGAGTGCCTGGCGTGCTCTGGTCCAGGGGTCACGAAGAGTCGGACACAATTAAACGACTGGAAACGATGCCTTATGAGGAACGGCTAAGGGAGCTGGGCATGTTTAGCCTGGAGAAGAGGAGGTTAAGGGGTGATATGATAGCCATGTTCAAATATATAAAAGGATGTCACATAGAGGAGGGAGAAAGGTTGTTTTCTGCTGCTCCAGAGAAGCGGACACGGAGCAATGGATCCAAACTACAAGAAAGAAGATTCCACCTAAACATTAGAAAGAACTTCCTGACAGTAAGAGCTGTTCAACAGTGGAATTTGCTGCCAAGGAGTGTGGTGGAGTCTCCTTCTTTGGAGGTCTTTAAGCAGAGGCTTGACAACCATATGTCAGGAGTGCTCTGATGGTGTTTCCTGCTTGGCAGGGGGTTGGACTCGATGGCCCTTGTGGTCTCTTCCAACTCTATGATTCTGTGATTCTATGACTAAACAACAAATCTTTTCAAATGCCCCCCTGAAGCTTTCCCACTTGCCCCTTATCTGCCTGTCCCCTTGGTTCCTTATTTTGGGCTGTCGTTTGCTAGTTCTGCAAATTCTATCAGCTCATGCAGCCATTGTTCATTTCCTGCAATTCCTCTTTCTTCCCAGTTTCTAGCATCAACCAGCTGCTCCTCTTCTCCCATAGGGCGAAAAGGGCTGTAGCAAAAGAGCCTAACTCCTTTGCATGCAAGTGTTCCCAAGGCTCCATCCCCAAAGGCGTCTCCCACCAAGAAAGGGCCAGGCACTGGGATCCTTTGCCCAAGTCCCTGAGAGACCAGCTGGACAAATATCACACCTGATAGAAGTCTTAGGTCCCTGTATCTTTAATGCTTTTGAATTCTAGCGCTGGAGGAGACTCTTGAGAGTCCCATGGACTGCAAGAAGATCAAACCTCTACACTCTGAAGGAAATCAGCCCTGAGTGCTCACTGGAGGGACAGATCCTGAAGCTGAGGCTCCAATACTTTGGCCACCTCATGAGAAGAGAAGACTCCCTGGAAAAGACCCTGATGTTGGGAAAGATGGGAGGGCACAAGGAGAAGGGGATGACAGAGGACGAGATGGTTGGACAGTGTTCTCGAAGCTACCAGCATGAGTTTGACCAAACTGCGGGAGGCAGTGGAAGACAGGAGTGCCTGGTGTGCTCTGGTCCATGGGGTCACGAAGAGTCGGACATGACTAAATGACTAAACAACAACAATCTTTAATGGGGGGGGGGCTCAGGCCGAATTTGGCCCGCGACGCCTTCCCCCTTGGTCCATGGGGCTGTTTTGGCCAGACCACACCCGCCTGACCCTACACCTGACGCTGATTTATGGCATCAGGTGTGAGGCAGGTAAACGCACGGCGGGAGGGGATTCGCAGGTGAGAGAGAGAGGGGGACTCCAGCCAGTGCAGACAGTGCTGAGATGGATGAACCAAGGCTGCTGGATGAACCAAGCCCACCTCTGCAGATTTATTATTAAATTTATTAAGTTTCACCTGTCGAGCTCAGGGAAGTTCACAGCATAAAAAGACAGCATTCCTGCCAGGCAATTTTGCCTGTTCGAGAGAGAGAGACAGCCTGTCTGTGATAATGGCACCAACCTCACAGGTGTCCTTCCGACCGCGCCAACCTGCAGAAACCGGCAATGCTACAGGTGCCTGTTCCACACTGGTAAGAAATCAACATTTTAATGTGACGGCTCCCATACACTTTGGAACACCCTGCTCATTGATTCCGTCCTATTTTCGGTGCCTGCCCAAACCATTCTTATTTATAGAGAAGCCTGTCCGGACAGGTGGAACGTCAATGCATGTTTTAGTATGTTCTCAGTTTATTACATATTTTCTCTTTCAAAATATCAAAGAGATTCTTTTACTGGTAATTTTATCGCTTCGTTCTCTTTGTAAACGACTTTCAGGTTTGTTTGTTTGTTTGTTTGTTTGTTTGTTTGTTTGTTTGTTTGAACAATCAAGCTGTATATATTTTATGGAATTAATAAGATAACAAATGCATAGTCCTTGCTCACTGAAATCACATTGTGTGAAGAAAGAGACCCCTCACCCTGCCTGGCGATGGAAACATGAGTGGCAGGTTTTGCTCTCCAGTCCAGATTGGCTTCTCGGAGCCGATTGTAGCAAATCACGGCATTCGAACCCAGGGCAGTAACTCCCGGGAGCTGCAG